ATTGAGCTAATTTTGCTTTAAATTGGATTTTTTATGAATTTGTAAAAGCCTCTTTAAAAGTTAAAGTATATATATGATTAATTTCATTCATTCTTTTTTGTATTGTCCTTAAATCCACCCATTAACTCGGCCCCCTTTAGACGATTCTTCTATTGATCCTAAATCAAAGGATACTCCACTATATCTGGGGGTGGTTGCTATGACGACCTAGTAGGAATGTTTGACAGTAAAGGAAAAAGGTAACATTCTGCTTGTACTTGTACATGTACATTTTATTATCACCATACTGTTCACAATTCTGTTCACATTGTGGTAACTATTAGGTGAGTCTGTAATAAATTGAATACAAATCGTCATTTATTTATTAAAGAGATATAGTACAGGGACATTCTTGGCTCCTCCAAAAATTTTGTTTACGGTAAAGTACAAGTGTACAACTTAATATGAACTTATGACAGCTTTCACTTACTCACTTTCCTTTTATCCTCGTGAAACATGCTAAGGCTATCATGGGACAGCTTCTCATAAATACCAATAGTTGTCTCAACAACCAGCTTTGTGTAAATTTTGTGGGTTTGTGGTAGTTTGATAGTGAGACTTGCCTTACTTTTAAAATTTTGTGACATGAGGAACATATAAACCATGTAAACTTTTGTCTTCTCTGTATAATTTTAAAGCAACATTATTAGTTGTGTTTTTGATGTTAATTACTGTTTCTCCCCGACCAGGTCCCTAACCGTGTCCCTTGTATTGGATTCAGTATTGGGGTATGAAAGAATATTCTCCATTTCGGAAGCAAAAGCAAAGGTAGTAATTGCTAAATTACATACTACTATTATTTGGCATAACACATGTTTTAAATTCAGCATATATAGTATATGTGTGTACATGTCTGGCGGACATTGTCTGGTTTTGGCTTTCCTATTGCACATGACTACTATAATGTAGTACCTCAATACAAGGATACAGTGTACTGTATACTGTAAACAACTTATATCTAATGGGCAGTATAGTTGGCGATTGGGTCACAATGTAAGCCCATGCACATATACAGTTGCATGTGTTTTAGGAAATCTGCTAAATTGACTGCAGATCAAAGTAAAAAGTAACAACAAAAGCTGCTTCTATATACAAACTTGATAGTATACATAAGTTTATAAATAGTGTTTTCAACTTCCATTTTAATAACAATAATAGCAAGTTCTCATGTGCATGTGAATGAATCAAATCTCAAAATGTAATTACATGTCACTAGCTGCATGGTTGCTTAGTAGCTGGTTAAAACTTTGATAGCTGTACAGTGTATGTGCTTGTTGCCAATTTGAAGCACACATGTATATAAGTTGTTTACAAGTATACAGTACACTGTATCCTTGTATTGAGTTGCTACATTATAGTTGTTATGCAATAGGAAAGCCAACTATTATAGTCACTATGGTATTATAGTAGTCATGTACAATAAGAAAGCCAACTAGTCACTATATGATAGTAGTCGTGTGCAATAAGAAAGCCAACTAGTCACTATAACTTTGACTGACACCTCAACTGAACAATAGTCCATTCAGTTTTACAATTTCAGGTCTCGTGTCAAAATGATGTCGTGCAGCTAGCCTCTGATTGGTCAGTTTTGCTTAATTGCTAATGAATTTTGATGAGGTACCTAATAATAGTATATAAGGAGGTGACTAGCAGTAGTGAATCACTTCTCACTAAAAGAAGAAAACATCTTACAAGAAAAAGGAACACTGTCTATAGTATATCAAGGAAAGGAATCATGAAGACTCTCCTCTCACTCTTCTGTCTGGTTACTTACCTGACCTGTGCTCTGAGGTATGTTACTACAGTATATCAAATCAATCTTACTTTTCTTTTGTACATGCAGTGCTAATGGCTGGCCAATCTCTCTTGACATGGCTTGTGGTAAAGCACTTTCTGCAGTTGCTTGCTCTTTTGAGTTTACCAACAATGCAAATGAGGATCTTTATCTACTGAAACGTAACACTCCTCTTGAAGGACTCAACTCTGAATTTGTTTCTGTCTCTCTTGACGGTCGTCCACTGGAATATGAAGGTATTATTATGCGTTGTGCCCCTCCTGCAAAGGATGAGTTTGTACTCTTGAAGGGAGGTGAGAGCATTTCTGCATCTGTCCAAATCACTGATATATTTAGCATTGATACTGATGGTCTCTACACTGTACAATACAGTAGACCTTTACAGTATTTGTCAGTGAATGAGATGAGTGCAATGTCTATTCATCAGCTCAGGGGATCATTTGTACGTGAATCCGTTCAACTTTATTTGGAAGACACTTCTGTTCTCTCGAAACCAAAGATAGAAGAAGTAAAAATTGATTACACTGTTCACATTGAAGCCTGTGGCAGTGCTAGTTTCTCTAATGGCAATGTTAACAACAGTAAAACACTGGATGCTCATAAGAAGCTCTGCGCTGGAACTGATAGAGCTAAAAATAAAGTTGGTAATATTACTGTATCTATTACATGGTTTGGTAGATACGATGCTGGAAGGACAGCTACAGCTAAGAAAACATATACAGATGTAAAAAGTGGAATAACTAACAATGTTGTAACATACTACAACAATGGCCCGAGATGTGGTGCTAAAACCTATGCCTATGTATTGTCGAATGTTAAAAATACCGTCTATCTTTGTAACTTGTACTACAAATCTCAAACATATTGCAGTACATCTGCTGAAAGCAAGGAGGGTACTCTGCTTCATGAATGGTCTCATAGTTATGCCGGTCGTATTGACTATAAGTCTGGAGGTACTGACTACTATGGTCGTTCCAAGTGCAAGGAGTTAGCTAAAAACGATCCTGCTAATGCAGTCAAGAATGCTGATAATTACTGTTATCACTATTGTGATGCTCAGTAATAGAGCTCAGCAGCTAAAAGCCAAGAACTTTTGGACTCATGGAACACTATAGGACATGTACAGTTTATTTTTGCTGCTTTAGGCCTCTTTTTGTTTAACTGTAATATTACATTTTTGATTAGTCAATTATCTCTTGGCTTATTGATCATTAATAATAATATTGAATTTAAATTATTGAAATTGAGCATAGCCATGCGACAAAAGCAAAAGTGCTTTTGTAAGTTGTAACGAGACATAGACCATACATGCATGCCATAATTATGGGCCAGGATATGTTAGGGTTGATTAATAAATCATAATGACACTATGAGATTGTAGCAAGACTGGTAAAAGCAAGATAGATACACAGGTTACAGATTTTTTTTTTTTGCATTTTTAGCAACACGTGACAAAACGTGATTTTATCACGTGAGTGTGTGACGTGTTTGGGTGGGACTAGCTAGTAGCTATAAGATGGCCGCCTAATTGGAAGAGGATAGTTCAGAGTTGGTATGTTGCTTTGTCTTTGTTCTTTTACTGTTGTCAACCAGCAGGTGATGGCTCAGAGACGGAAGGCAAAGCTATACTTTGGCAAACACAGTGACTGTTTTGTACACGGTTTGCCACGAGAATGGATAACCTGGCTGAAGCCATCATCAGTGGTAATTAAGACATTGAACACTCCAACTTCACTTACGCAATGTCCTCTACCTACAGGATGACTTGCATTTAGTCAGAATAGTGTTTCCAGATAGTACCAGCCTAATGGCTAGCTTCTCAAAACGGCCAGCTCTGCCTTCAAGCATAAGAAAGTCAAGCAGCAGTGAAAGTGAATATCTTGAGATTGACATTGAATATGCATCATGTCTTAAAATAAAAGAAGGGCAAATGGTGAGTTTTATAATAATGTGCGCTATAGCAGTCTTTAAACAATACTGGGCCATGAGCAAAGCTTACTGGATTTATATTAATTATTATTTTTATTTTGTCTGGCAGTCCTGAATTTATATTTAACGTAATTAGTTATTATTTATTATTGATTATTGTTTTTTACTGTCCTATAGGTTACAGTTGAGTGTATTCCCGATATACCTGTGTGTAAGAAGATTAATGCTGTACCAGTTAATGACAATGATTATGAGATACTGGTAATAATTATAATTATTTCTCTTTCTCTTTACCTCACAGTAGTGCTACATGAATTATGCATATTTAAAAAAGAATTTACTGTCATTGCTGATTAGTAGCCGTCAATACAAAAATAATGTTGCTATTAGCATAGTTGGAGGGGTTGTACTATGCCCATATATTGTTTAATGAATGCAGCCACAATAGTTTTAGACTTGTTGTTATACTGGAACAGCATGTCTCCGGGCATCAAATATTCCAAAAAGTTCTTTCCCTTCTGACCACAATTCTAAAACTTTCCTAGGCAAGATAAACAGATAGTGTGTTTGTGTGTGCATGGTGCAACCTCTTTGTAAAAGTACCCCATTATCATAGAAGTGTCCTAGGTTGGGATATCAAATGTTCTATTTGAGAGTGCCCTTATGTATTACGTGTATGTGTCATCTTTCAAATACTTTAGGAGTGCAATAGAGAAACTATTGAATATGAAATGCTAAATCAAATTCGGATTGTATCTACTAAGTTTCCTTTTCCAATATGGATCAATAACCAGCCAATACGTCTCAAACTAAGTATGTAGTGTTTCTTATATGTACACACGTACATGTAACTCCACACTCTTTATCATTATCTATTCCTCTTTCTTCTTCCTTTTCTTCTAATTATCCTCATCCCATTCTCCTTCCCACTCCTTATTCTCTTGCTTTAGGCTCTTCCAGTGATTCTCAATCTCCTTCATGGCTATTGCTAGCTAAAGATGCATTTGTCAATCTTCATATCACACCAGCCAATACTCCTGCCTCTCCTCTCCCTCCTGATAGATCAGAGAGCTCACTCTCAGAGGAAAGCAACCAGTCAGTCCAGAGCCAGCAGCCATCCTTCACTAAAAATAATCGACCATTCCGTCACAGACTAACAACTAGTGATGGTAACATCTCGACTGTTAACCTCTGTAACACGATAGATAGGTTTGATAGTCTCTCGACTAATGACGGTGACCTTGAAAGAGAAGAGGAAGATGAAGGCCTAGTGAAGTTTTTGAGTAGTAGTATCAATGCTTTTGGCTCGTGGCTTCAGAGGAATAAGAGTCCTGACTCTATGACCTCAGGGACAGGTCCCTCCTCTGAGCTCCACTCTCGCTCTTCTCATCTTAGCTTGGGCTCTCCACAGGATGGGGATAGGCCTCCATTATCACAGAGATCACTGTCACCTTCTCGTTCGTATACTTCTAATCCTACAGGAGGAGGTGGCAGTGGTGGCGGTGGGCATGGACATATAAAGCAACATTCTTGGTCGGGTCAGTCTGATTTTGAGCTACATGTACCAGATTATCCTCCCGTTTCGTCTCTCCCACTTTCGCTCTCTGTGAGAGTCCAGACTCTTAAACCTGACCTGGCCCACAAGATATGGGGACAAGACAATGTGTATGATGTATATGTGAACCCTCTCTCTGTCCCTCACCATCACAACTTGACTAATAACTCTTTTCTCGTTCGACTAACTCTTTGTACTCCTCCTCCTGCCCCAAAGTCCAACAGCAACAACGGCACTACTGCTACCAGTAAAGAGAAGCAGACAGTGCCAGAGCAGTCAACTAACAATGCCTCTTCTACTAGTCTAGTAAGCAACAAGAGTAGCATCTTAGAGCGGCTATCAAATCTAATTCCGGAAAGAAACACACCCTCTCCTACTCTATCAGCTTCCGCATTACCCGTGGTACCTCCTCCATCAGAAGCCTCCACCACTAGTAACTACTACTGTACTACTGTCATTGCTCATATGCACCTTGTTACTCATATACCTTCTGAGCAGAGGAAGCTTTCAATACTCAGTCACACTATTGAGGAAGTCTCCCAGTCTCGCGAGGCAAGTAATTCACCGGCTCACAGTCCAGCATCTGTTAAGAAAGACTCAATGGTTAAGAGGATTGGTGGGATACCTGTACTGCCTGGTCATGTTGTTCTTGGTAGTCTCCTGTGTCAGCAGTTAGGGGCTAGTGCTCACTCTTATGTACTCATTGAGGAAGTAAATAAGGATTGGAGGGTTGATGTGAAAAGGAACAAGATTTCGGTTACTTTAGATCTCTTGGCACCTTTTAAAGTATGTCTGCTATTATAAATATGATATTATAGAGTCTATCATCATTTAAGCAACGGTCTAATTTAATAGTATAAAGCAAAGTGACCCTGACATTGTATGTGTACATGTAGTTGCTTTGTCTCATAGTTGCTATGCATATTTTAAATTTTTGTTACTTTATAGTGGGAAATAAAATCTGCCATTTTGAGCCATTATACGCATACTCAGTGGCACGTGGCTACTAATTTGCCAAATTAAAACTTGCCAATCAACAAATTTTAGCAATTTGATCCCTCCAAAATTTTCCGCTATATGGTATAATGGAGCTTTTTCACATTTACATTTACAATGCACACCAGTATGCAATTTAGCAGCTCTTGTATCATTTATTGCATAGTTTAGACCAATGCATCGTGACGTACTGAGGAGTTTCAAGGAATGGGTTGGAGTTTGTAGCAGGAACAAATTCAACTGCTTTTTTACGGATAATATGGTTGTACCACTTCACTTTAAGCCAAAAGCCCCTGAAGGTACTTGACTTTAATTCTGAACCCTCTCTTCTAATAATTATTATTGTTTTATTTCTTCTTTCTCCTATAGCGTTATATTCATCATCTATTGTGATGCATTTCCGTATAACATGTAAAATAGAGAAGCCTATAGTTCCAGTTCAAGAGACTCCCATCAAGGTATTCCAGTTGAGCACTCAAGACATAAAGACTGAGAACTCTCGTCGTGTTGAGATCAAGTATTACAGTACTCATAATAGTGATGCTAATGGAATCGTGGGAACTTTAATGCCTTTTGATGAAACACCTTCTGAGATTGATACCATCAGAATGGATAGATTTGGGTACATATTATATCCACCAATCCTCCTCTGTCTCTCTCCTTAATTTTATTATATTTCTCTCAACTTCTCCTTTTTTAATGGAGTAAAGATGGAATTATATCTGTTCCCCTTGTATATTTCTTTATCATTTAACTATTTGTTCTCTTTTAGTGCTATAGAGGAGCTACTCCATGACTGCTATTCACATTTGATGGAGGTGTACTCTCAGAGGAGACACTCCTCTCTCCTGATATGTGGTACAGGAGGAGGGGGCAGTGCTGGTACTGTGAGTGGGTGTGGCAAGACCTCTCTTTCTATGCTACTCTGTAAAGCAATATCAAAATCAATATGGCAGTTTCATGTTATAATATTGGACTGCACTTTGTTAAGAGGTGAGTATGTAATACTACCTTCCTTCCTTTTCTCTTCCTCACTCCTTCAAATCCAACACTGGAGCTATTACTATTAATTTTATCTTATCGTCTCACTCTCTTATCTTTTTTATTTTATTATTATCTAATTATTTAATTTATGATGATATCTCTCGTTTATTTTTATTTTATTCTCCCTCCTCTCTTTCTCTTTCTCCCTTCTCTTTCTCTCTCTTTCTCTCATCAGGTAAAAGAGTAGATAAGATTAAGAAGCGTCTCTCTGGCATAGTAAGAGAAGCCAGAGGCCACCAGCCCTCAGTGATACTCTTAGATGATTTGGATGAGATTGCACGTCACATTAATGATGCACAGAAGGAAGCATCTGGTGAAGCACTGGCTAATACAAAGAATGCACAAGGTATTGTACATTAATATATTTCACCTTCTCTCATTATTTCCTTTCTCCCTTCCCTCTCCTCTTTCTCCCTTTATCTTTTGTCCTTAACATTCACATAATATCAATTAATCCTCTTATTTTTTTCTTTTGCTTTTTTTTCTCTCTATTCAGTTATATTAGACTTCCTAACAGAAATGAGATCATCTTGTCACTGCTTGATAATAGCAACTTCATCCAGCAGGCAATCCCTCCATCCATCACTCCTTCAGTTCAGAGGGAGACACTTATTTCATGTCGTTGAGATGAAGCCGCCTAATCTGGTGAGGATTATTATAAAGAATTGTCTAATTTATGTTATAATATTAGAATCAACGCATAGAAATACTCCAAGCAATAATGAGGGATTATTCAAAGCAACCTTTGCTGTCACCTGATGATTTTAGGTATGTATGGATGCACAGGGTTTCCATAGGATTTTGGGATAGTGCTCATGTGGCTTTTTGTTATTGCCAAAGTCCCTATACTATAGTACAGAGTATTTTGACAAAAATCACAAGGAGAGAATTCTTCATTTTTATAATTTTTCCTGATACATATGTATGTTTTTATCTTGTGTTGAAAATTTGAGCTGATTCCGATCAAAATTTGATTTTTTATAAATTTTTTAATTTTCACCAAAAATTGGGCCAACGACTCAAGGCTATAGCCTCTGGTTTTTGACCAAATTTCATCAAAAATGGATGGAAGAGAATTCTCTATTTTTATAATTGTTTTGATACGTATACATGTCCTTATATTGTGTATCAACTTTGAGCTGATTCTGATCAAATTTGAATTTTTTATGAATTTGTGAAGTTGCTCCAAAAAAGCTATATCTATGTGCTGTATTGTAGTACTTGTCAGCTCATGAAGCATGCTGTTTAGCTTCTTAACATGCTTTGTTGGAAACCCTGTGAATACATTGTATTTATATAATTTTTGGGCTTAATTACATGTATTTACACAACAAATTTGAATTGATTGATAATAAGCAAATTTAATTTGAAAATAATTTAATTTAATTATGTATGTTTACCACAATAGCATAATAATAATAATACTTTCTCTCTTCATTGCTCTTATACAGGATCATTGCATTAAGAACTGAAGGTTTTCAAGTGAAGGACCTCTCAGTATTAGTGGACCGAGCTTTGAGTGTCTCACAGCAGAGAGCTATACACAGTACTGTCACTAAACAATACGAAAATAAAAGGTTGAGCTTAGTGGATCCTGAGCAGCAGTTCCTGGGCACTGCAAAGAAGAAGGACTCTTCTGCAACTGTTGTAGCAGGAAGTTTTAAGAGAGAAAGCTCTGTTTATGGAACTGATGTAAAACTTGATGATTTTATTTCTGTTCTTGAGAACTACTTACCAGCTGCACTGAAGGGACTATCACTTCACTCCAGAGGAAAAATTAATTTTAAAAGAGTCGGTGGCCTGACAGAAGCTAAGAAGACACTAACTGAAACAATGCTGTGGCCTTCTAAAGTATTATTAATTGCATTCACATTAAATTATACACCACCATATTGTCTACATGTATTTTAACTTTATTTTACTTTTAGTATCCAAAACTTTTTAAAGCTTGCCCCATAAAGCAGCATGCTGGAGTTTTGCTGTATGGAGCTCCTGGGACTGGTAAAACACTATTAGCTGAAGCACTGGCTAATGAATTCTGTCTTAATTTTGTTAGCATAAAAGTAATAATACCGAGTCACTGTTGTATGAGATTTTATTGTATAATTATTGTACTATAGGGTCCTGAATTATTAAATAAATACATTGGAGCCAGTGAGCAGGCAGTGCGTGATCTGTTTTCAAAGTAATCTTGTATCAATAAATTAATCATTGATTTGATCTTTGGTGTATAGGGCACAGGCAGCTCAACCTTGTATCTTGTTCTTTGATGAGTTTGACTCATTAGCTCCACAGTGAGTTAACGCTTAAAAATTAACATGTATTTTGTATTGAAAATCAGCTTATTTTTAAAATGGTCAAAATATTATAGTCAGAATCAACTCAAACTTTCTACAGAGCATAAGGAATTTAATATGTGTCAAAAAACTATAATGAGAAATTGGGGTGATTTTAGAGCCATTTTTGGAAAAAAGCATTTGTTAGAAATTGGCTCATTTTTAAATGGTGGTAACTCAAAAATTTGAGCTTGGATCAGCTTAAAGCGTAAGGACATCAACATGTATCAATAATTTAATAAAAATTGGGGTTGATTTTGGAGCCATTTTAAGAAAAAACATGGACTATAGTACAGGGTATTTTTCAGAAATAGCTCTATACACATTTATAATTTTTAGACGGGGTCATGATCGAACAGGAGTAACTGATAGAGTTGTTAATCAATTGCTAACAGAGTTAGATGGAGTAGAATCAACACAAGGTATAAAGTATTAATCTCTCCTCACCTTTTCACTCTCTTCACTTCTCTCTCCAACTCCTTGCACTACATGTACATATGCAGGTGTGTATGTACTGGCAGCTAGCAGTAGACCTGATCTAATTGATCCAGCTCTACTGAGACCTGGAAGAATCGACAAGATATTGTTTTGTAGTGTACCAGTGGATGAGGTATGATGAATATTATTAGATCTATTTTAGAAAATACAGTTCAACAACTTTTTACAAATAACATGTTTAATACAGTAATATTTTTTGTTAGGTTGTAAGACATCAAATACTAGCAGCGTTGAGCCATGAGCTCTCTCTCTCAAAAGATGTGGATATGATGAAAATAGCAAAAGCTACCAAAAACTTTACAGGAGCTGATCTAAAGGCATTGTTGTATAATGCTCAGCTTCTCTCGGTGCACAGATCACTGGGTGATACTATCCATAGTGGTAAAACAACGGATCATCAGTCTGTAGTAGAAACAAACATGTTTGGCAGTCACCAGCAATCCAATCCTTTGAAAGTTTGGCAGTTTAAGTCTGGGCTTGGTAAAGATGGTGGTAATAGTCTCCAAAGTGTGTCTGAAGTTAATTCCGAGTCTGGAGTCATACCAGATCAGGTAAACACTATTGTGTGAGTCTTTATAACATTATTGTGTCCTTCATTTTAAGGTCAAGAAGCTTCTTAACAGAGAGAGTGACAACACACTAAAAGGCAAAGAGAAAGTAAGTCATAATGTCTTTTTTCCTCCCATTTATTCTCTTTTGTAGTTGTCTAGGTCATGCAGTGTTACCCAATCGGATTTAGAGGAGTCACTAGTGAAAGCTAGTCCATCACTCTCTCCTGAAGAGAGATTCAAATACGAAACAATGTAAGTTTTTGAAAATTATCATTGTGGATTTTCATATTTCATTTTACATGTACTGTAGTTACGAGAAATTTAAGAAAGGAAAGACAATTGAGAAACCAAACCAGCATACAACTTTAGCATAACATTTTAGTAACTTCATTAATAGAGAATTTAACCTTTTATTTCCTTGTTCAAATAATTTATTAATTTTACTTACACAAAAAAAAGTATTTTCCACCAGTACCATACAGAAGATTGGGGAGGATAAACATGTACAGTAACTGCTTTGTTCTTACCAAAAAAGAAATTACTCAGTTAAAATTAAATTTTCCCTTCACAATGTAAACAAGGTGTGAGTGTACCCACAATAGCCTCATTGTTTAAACAAAGCTTAACTTGGTTACTATCTTGTTTACTGCAATTTACACTCAGAGAAGCAAGCAAGGTTTCAAATATTCCTTTCATTTCAATTTTATGCACAAGCAATGCTATGCAAAATTTAGAATGCTGGCAAATACATTTAATTTCTGCATAAGTAATGCAAAATAAAATTTATTTACAAGTTTTTTTCAAAAAAGAACTATAAGCAGAATACTGATTACAATAGAGTACACAATGTCTCAGTCCTTTACATCAACCATGTCAACCACCTGATTCTGTTCCAGGGTTGCATCACTTTGATCAGCCATACCCCTGGAAGCAAATTGAGACACGGAGACTGTCTGGAATCCCATGAACCACCAACGTGGCTTCTTATCTGCTCCTTGAGAGAGCTGGAAGACTCCTGGCAACCTGTGGAGGAGGGACTCCAGATAAATGGAGTTGTAGGTTGAGTTCAATGTCCTAAAGTACATCTCAATCTCTTCAAAACTGGCTCCTAAAGGATGAACAGTCAAAAAGGCAGCCATTACGGAAATTAGGGCAATATCAGTATCACTCAATCCTGTTGTGTTTTCTTCTGCTGTTGATCCCATTTGCGTCCTAAGCTGAGCATAAGCAGCAGCAGCTGCAGCCAAACTCTCCCCGCCAATTGTTCCATTGTCTAATGCACGATTGAGATCATCCATGCTCACGCCATCAATCACTTCCCAATCTCCTTCATCCCCACTTTCTTCCTTAACCTCTGGCTGCTCCTCTGTCTCTACACCTGTTACCTGTTGTGAGGTGTTTACTCTTCAAGTTAGTTAGTACATGCACCTCAAAATAGGCTGACAGTTAAGCCATTGCAGTATAGGGAGGGTGTTAAGCTTTGCTAGTATTAGTATTAAGTTTTGCTATAAACTATTAGCATAATTATGCCACTAATGTTAGCTGGTAAAGTCAACTTAGGTATTGTTAAGCCATTGCTAAGTTAGTAGGGAAATGTTAAGCTTTGCTATGAACTGTTAAGCCATGCCAACTATAATGCTAAGCCAAGTTACATGTTAGCTAGTAAGAGCCCCAGCTAATAAAAATAGACACTAACTTACTATAAAAAGGAAAATGGTGGGTTTTGTTAACTTATATCTTATGTTAGTTGGATACTGAGTGTTCTACAATATTCTCTCATACTATTCCTCCTTACCTGGGATTGCTTCTCATCATTACTCTGTTGAGTGCTAGCAGACCCTCTCACTATTTTCTCCCATTCATCAGGGCAGTTCTATAAAGAGAATAAGTATTTAGTGTTATTAACAAAATTAGACTAATAGACTGTAGTTCTGGGAATAGAATTCCCCAAAAAGAAAACCAGTAAAACCACATAACCACATACATTCATGTATTGGATATTATTATTAATTTATTATTATACCTTCTTGAATTTTGCCAGCAAGGTCTTCAATTGCAATATCTATGCGTGTTCAACAAAATGAGGATCCATAACTTGGATTGCCTAACTTGTTTCTCTTTCTTTTCAACTGCCACTTCATGATCAACCTTTAACTGCTCAATCTCTTGACCTGCCCTTGACAACTGTCTCTCTATATCACCCATGGTATCAGAAGACTCTATAAACACACATAAAAATTCAAAATGAGGCATAATAATAGAAAATTTTCAGTCGAGAAAAATTCTTAATTATTCTTAAAAAAAATGAATGAGCAAAACCTATTAAATCTCTGTAACACTTTCTTACACTTAATAATCCCTTAACTAACCATTATTGCTGTCATCTTGCTTTTGTTTCTTTGCAGCTGGTTCATCTGTATCATCTTTCCTTGGCACTGATTTCTTGATGTTTGTCTTAATACTTGTCTCCAGTTCTTTAATGTGGTCTTTCCATTGGGAGAGGGTCTTACGCTGCGGCTTGGTAAAATGATCCCAAGTCTTCTTAACAGAAGTAGCTTCAAAAACAGCATCAAGAGTTCCACCTGGAAGCCAAAAAATCAATATTTTATTAATCAGAATGTGGTATGCTTAAAAATCAATTTGTTAAGTTACAAAACATACATTTTAAATGCCAAAAATAACAGACAACAAAGTAGTAAAAATTAAGTACACAAAATGCTATAACTCCATGCACTGTTATTATTACCAAATTTAACATACATTGAACCACCAGCTGTTGAAGTTGGCTCCTTTTCTTCATGTAAAACTCCTCTTCATCTCTATCCTTTGCCTTCATTTCCTTCTCCAGCTTGAAGCAGTGATTATTAACGGAGCTTAAAAGACCAAAGAATGTCCCTGCAGTAGTAGACGTACAATTTCCCTTCTCCATCCACTGGATGAGGTTTCTTGCTGCATACTCAAATGTGTCATCGTTACGCAAATCAGTCGATACGATTTGAGCATTGGCAGCATTAAAAGGTAAAATATCACCAGATTTCATACGACGCTTGGCATCAGAGAGCTCCCTTGACTGAGCATAGTCAACTTGAATATTAGAAGAGAACTCATCTCCATTAGTGCTGGTCACGTATACAGTGCATTTATTCAATTGGATTGCTTTATCAACTGAGCTCTCGTATTTAAATTCAACATGCCCGTAGGTCTTGTTACGAGCCATACGTACATCTTGTATCGGGCCACACTCACAGAATATATCATAAAGATGCTTTTCTGTGGTACTTTCAGGCAAGGTACCCACAAAAACTGTATTACAATTTGAGGGTTTCTCTCGAGTGGGAGCAGTGGATTGAAAGGGAGGAGGAGGGGCAATAGTGACTAATCCTTGAACATATGCTCCTTTAGCAAGATCTCTGGCCCTTTCCCTGATAGGGCCAGGACGTATGAAGGGATCATCACGACGACCACTCCCACCAGGGCCACCACGGTAATAAGGATCGTCTAACGGCGGGCTGTAGCCTCTAGAGTGTCTCTCCCTCTCACCATAACGTCCTATTTCTCTTTCATAGTAGTCACGATAACGGGAAGGATAAGGAAGGCCATCATAATCCTCTCGATACATCATTTATCACAGAGTCCACAACTCCACACGTTCCAGTCCCTTCTAAATCACGTGATGCTTGCAACAACGTCTCACTCATCCACGTGACACCACGTGTCCATTCAAAAGTTACAATGACACCTCTTGAATACAGGAATAATAGTGTTTTTTGTAACAGTGTATGTGTTTATGTATCTAGCTCTATTTATTCAGTAAAGTGGCATGATAAACTACCTATATCTACGTAATAATCGCACACACTTTAAACTATAAAAGTAAGTTATTGTGGCATAATCTCATAAACAGCATCTGGTGACATGTCACATTCATCATAGACACTTTCCTCTTCCCTTAGTTTAGTCTTGTGAAGATCATATGGTTCACATACTTGCATTGCAATATCATCATCAGATCTATTAGACAATGTATGCACACCAGACATTTAGCACTAATATTAATTTACCTTGTATGCTTAACTGAGTTAGATTTCATACTAAAAATAGGATATAACAAATTATGATTCTATTGGCAAACAAAGTTTTAACATACCGTAAAATAATTAAACAAATATTGATAACAATACTGACAGTTAACACGATGAACAATACACCTACTAGTGCACTCATTCCAAAAGCAATATTACTAGCAGAAGAAGTGATAACTAAAAGAAAAAAATTATGAATTTAATAACAATAATTTCAATACTTGGTGTTGAAGTTACAGTATATGTAACTGTAACTGTTGGAACAGAAGGTAATTCCAATGTCTCATTAGTAATAAATTTCCAGTACCCATGCCCTTTAACAGTATATGCACGTACACCAAAAATATAGCAAGTGCTTTTATTGAGACCAGTAATGTTAGTAAATGTACTGACTATACAAAAGAACTCCAATGACTCATTAGCAAAACTAGCCACCGTACAGTTGCGAGACTGTAAGAAATGATACCCTATCTCATATGTGATAATGGGATAGTCTGATGGAATATAACTAGGTACACTCCATGAGATAACAGCCCATGTAGTGTTCATGATACTGGATATTGAACCAACTGGACCAGGTACTAAATAAAGACACATTCTCACAGAACTGATATAGTATAATAATTACATACCTATTCCAATCTCTACTACAATAGGATCACTAAAGGGACCTCTTCCAACAGAATTGACAGCAGCTACACTGATGTTATACTCAGTACCAAATACTAGATCATTCAATATGATATATCTTTCAATGCTGGTGAGGTTGTATGTGATACTACTGTTACTGATAATGACTGAATAGCCTGTGATTAGACCATTACGCAGAGAACAATTGACCTCATTCCAAGTGAGATTATTAACTGGTTGTGACAAAACTAGAGAACTAGGTACACCAGTAGGAGCTATAAAACAACTAATGACATTAAATTTAATAAATATATACGTACCTCTTGAAAAAATTGTTTTTCCTTTAATTGAACTATTGCCAGATCCTCCTAGCACATTACCAACTCTCACTGTGATGGTATAGTTCATACCACTGTACAGACCTAGTCATGTATAACTGTATGTTGTAGTGGACTGATGAGGAGCAACAGAGACTGTCTCATTCACTGATGATAACTGGGGACAAGATGGAGTATAGGAGATGGTGTAGTATGTTACATAGTTGTCACTACTGGGAATAGTCCAGTTCACTGTAATACTAGTGGTTGAGACATTAGATACTGAGAGACTAGTTACTGGACTAGGAACTACAACAGATATCAATTACACTCTCTTAATGATAATAACTCACCATCAAATCTTAACACTGTTACTGTACTATTAACTGAAGGAAGGTCTATATATGAGTACACACTGATGGTATAGGTACTCATTGGTGAGAGATCTGTTAGTACAATTTTATCTGCACTGATAGATACTACATTCCTGGTTACACCTCCAGTAGTATACTCAATCACATATCCATTAGTCTCTGATAATGTGGTCCAGCTCACTTTGATACAAGTAGCATTTAATATAAACCCTCTCACTATATTTGGAGGACCAGTAGGAGCTAGAAAAGAAGGTATCTACTATTGATTTAAGTGTAATCATACCATCATACCATGTAATATCACAGATTGACTGTAGTTGACTCCTCCAATCATTGCTATACAGGTAACATTAACTGACACTCCCAGTGGATCAGGATATATCAGTAGTGTGTTGTTGTATGTCAGAACATCAATTGATGTATACATTGAGTTACTCTTCATCATTCCATTCACTAACCAGTAAACATCAGTTGAAGGATTTATATCAGTAGTTGTGAGGCAGTCAATACGATATTGAGTGTTATTGAGTTGTGTAATCGATGAGACTAGTGTCCAATTGATTGAATTAATAACTAGAAACACATCGACAATGTTACAAGTACATTAAAAGGTGCAGTAGCAATACCTGGTAAGGTTTGTACACTGATTGTACTAGCATGTCCCAGTAATTGTTGATAGGCTCTGACTATAATGCTATAAGTTGCTAGTGCACTCAGTCTATTCAGTGTGATTGTATTATTACTACTTCCCTCCACCTGTACTGTCTGCACAGTGTCTGTATCACTAGTGACATTGACTACATATCCATCAGCATCAGATGAATCAAACGCAGTCCAACTGACAGTGATAGTGGTAGCTGTTTTGTTCACCTCAGTAAGAGAAGAGGGAGCGTTTGCTGGTACTAATAGGGAGACATATGTACATAATTATTAGCATCCTTATCATTACCTTTTATGGTTAAAGTACGTGTTCTATCAGTACCATCAAGATTATCCAGTACACACTGATACACTTGATCTCCAGTGGTTGATTGACTGATTGATCCACTACTTACAGTCATTCCATCCCATGTGATAGTAACAGTATATCTTATTATGTTAAAATCATCATCTTCTAGTTCAGTGAAGGATATATTATCATCATTACAATTAGTATAATTAGCCAATAAAGTACCACCAATGCTCATACTAATACCATACCCATAGTGTCCAATTTTAGTACAATTCAGTTTGTATTCCTGAGGATATACTGTCATATCAGAAGGAAGATCAGCAACAGTAAATGATTCTATCTCTGCATATCCTAGAAATAAATATTATTACATCATTAAGTGATTTCATAGTCTTCCTTACTGAATATATTAGCAAAGATGATGTTAGTGTTAGGATCTGAACAATCAGTGGGTAGACAACACTTGTACCAGCCTTCTTGAGCTGCTGGTAGTCCCTGAGCAAGATAAAGATTGAGAGTAGCAGGTGAAGTGACATTAGTACAACGAAAAGAATCACTGGCACTATTATTGTTACAGTCAACAGGATCATCAGGATCAGCAACTCTAACCCACTGACCAGTAGTTAGACTAGTGCCAGGTAACACACATGATATAGCTTCTGTTACTGCATTGACACTACTATCCCAAAAGTATGATCGATTAGGATAGCAGTTTTCATTATGTGCTAAATAAATACCTATTAAATCAATACTCATATTTCTAATTAGATATTAATTCAAGATACTTTCTTGCTGACACAGAGTGAAGACACTGATTGTACTAGCAGGTCCTAGTAATTGCTGATAGGCTCTGACTGTGATGTTATAAGTTGTTAGTTCTCTCAGTCCATTCAGTGTGATTGTATTATTACTGCTTCCCTCCACCTGTACTGTCTGCACAGTGTCTGTGTCACTAGTGACATTGACTACATATCCATCAGCATCAGATGAATCAAGTGCAGTCCAACTGACAGTGATAGTGGTAGTTGTCTTGTTGACCTCAGTAAGAGAAGAGGGAGCAGTTGCTGGTACTAAAACAAAAAATCAAAAATTAAAACAGTTAAACATTTAGCAGTAGAACTAATGACCTGTGACAGAGATGTATCTATTTCTTGTTACCGAGTAATGAATATTATAATGACCAAAATGCAAAAAGAATCTATACACATGATCACCATTGTTGTTTGATTGATTCAGTGCCCCGTTGGTAATAGCCTCTCCATTCCAAGTAACAGTTAGAGTAAAATCCCATCTTCCATTACCATAATTTACTGCTATTCCATTGTCATCTGTACAATTGTATAAGTACCTGTCTCCTCTGCAAAGTTGAGTACTAGTATTACCAAATTCATAGTACCAATTGGCAGCATGTAAAAACCTTTTATCATCATTGTGACCAATTTTAATAGCATGCAGTGTATAATTCTGAGGTAGAACTGTTATATCTGAAGGAAGATCAACTGTAAGGTTTTCAATTTGGGCCCATTCTATACAGTAAAATGACAATGTGTACTAGAGTAATGAGATCACTTACTGTATATATTAGCAAAGATGATGCCCAAGTTTGAGTCTGAGCAATTAGTGGGTAGACAACACTTGTACCAGCCATCATTAGATGGGGGAATGCTTTGTCCAGTAGGTATGTAAAGACTGACATTAGCAGGTGAAAATATAAAATTACAATGAAGAGGATCAGTACTACAGTCAACTGATAATCCATCAGGAGCAACCCACCCTCCACCATTCAGAGTAGAACCAGGTAAAATGCACTTGATACTGTTACTGTATCCTTTAATATCAATATCATAAAAATATGATCCATTAGGGTAACAGTTTCCATTATGCATCAAGTAGATACCTATAAAAACATATACAGCTGTTATCATACACATCCAGTGTCTTACCTGAGGAAGGTGGACATTGACTAATACCTTCACTGACACTCAACAAGAAGACAACAGACACCATTAGCACTGACACTGCCATTTTACCCATCATCAATACTGGTATTGACTGTTGCTGTTACATTTCCTCATTAAACAGTTTAAATAAATAACTTGAAATATTATTATTGCAATGTTATGAATAATATCTTTATGCTTTTGTACCTTTAAAGAATAAATAAACTATGCCACAATAATTATTGTTACACCTATGTTATTAACTACTGCATGTATTTCCACAAGTAATTCTAGTATTTCCCGGAGTTAGTTTGGCCATTCAAACTAATAGAATGGTATTTATCACACTAGAAAGAAAGACAAAAAATTTTTTATTGTCTTGACTATAAAATTTACTATTAACTATAGAACTTCAAATATGATTACTTTCATGGCTTAGCTATATAATTGGCTATAGATCTAGTTGATAAAGGTAATAAAACTGCTAGACATACAAATAAAACATTTACTTAGTATTTTAGACATTAAAAGGAAACAATGTCCTAAAAAGGATACGAACTACAAAACTGTAAAGTTAATGATTGCAATAACAAGTCATTGTGGCATAGTCTCATAAACAGCATCAGGTGACATTTGACATTCATCATAGACTCTGTTCTCTTCACTTAGTTTAGTTTTGCGAATTTCATATGGTTCACATCAGATCTACGAAGTATATATTTAATTAATGATTGATGTACATAATTATGTCAGTTAATTATATAGATCTAGTAGCCTGTATTTAATACTTACTTTGCTTGCTTGTTACAAGGACCTCTAATTCTAAAAAATATCAGATTTACAAAAATGCTTTATTTATTTATTAGTACCTAATAGATCTTGAAAATGACACTGACAGTTAGTAAAATTAACAATACACCTACTGACACACTAAATGCAATATCTCTCATTACATTACATACTGCTCATAAATTAATGGTTACTTCTTAATAACAAATATGAGACTTACTGAATATTGAAGGTGATGTTGATATACTACAAAGGTGGCTCCTGCCTTGGTGATATAGTATTTTATTAGCAATATATAACTGTTCACAGCAAATATCCATTATCAGTGTATGCACTTACACCAAAAATATAACAAGAATTATCAGTAAGACCAGTAATGTTGATAAATGTGTAAATACTAGGGACAGCAGCAGTCAATAAAGCATTAGCGTTGAACCTATCAAGACACATTCTCACAGAACTGATTATAGTATAATAATTACATACCTATTCCAATCTCTACTACAATGGGATCACTGAAGGGACCTCTTCTAACAGAATTGACAGCAGCTACACTGATGTTATATTCAGTACCAAACACTAGATTAGTCAATATGATATATCTCTCAATACTGGTGAGGCTGTATGTAATACTAGTGTTACTGATAATCTGTGATTAGAACATTACGCTGGGAACAATTGAACTCATTCCAAGTGAGATTATTAGCTGTTGAATTAACTGGATTGATGAAGGCCAATCACTAGGCACTAAGAGCATATGAAAGATGATTTAATCAAAAATACAAACTTACTTCAGTTTGTATGATGATTTTGCTTAATTCAGAACCTCCAAGTAGATTACCAGCTCTCAATGTCATGGTATAGTTCATACCACTATACAGACCTATTAATGTATAACATTTCCTTTTTTGTGTCACTAATTCAACCTACCTATTTTTAACCTTGCTTATCCTACATGTTTTATTTCTATTTTTTATTTATAATAAATTTTTTGAGGGCTTTGTTCCCTTTTTACTGTATGTTGTAGTGGACTGCTGATGAGGAGCAACAGAGACTGTTTCATTCCCTGATGATAACTGAGGACAAGATGGAGTATAGGAGATAGTGTAGTATGTTACATAGTTGTCACTACTGGGAATAGTCCAGTTCACTGTAATACTGACCGTGTACATATGCACAATTACACATGCATGCTGTCTCTCTCTTATTTTGCCTACATACCGGTACATTAGAGAGTGTTCCTGTGATAATCATCATTGGATTATTTTAATTTCTTAGTAGCATATTAATAATAAGAAACATAAATACATGTACACCCAATATAAATATGTAACTACCAAAACTACATCTAATTGTTAGGATTTGCATGGTAAAGAGTTACGTTACGTTGCCTTCTAAACAATCTTTTTCTAATGCTTGGTTTTTGAGATCCTCTACTAGATAAATGATAAATGGATTGTGTTTGTTCTTCAACTTCAGTATCAACATTCTTTTTGGATTTATTATCAAAAGAACTAAAAGGATGTTTAACGGCTTGCACAAAATGTTCCTTTACTGATGACAATAGACCAATTGTTTGATAAGCAGTATCAATGGTAGAGGGTTTATCATATTGTATAGTAGTGCTTGAAGTCACTATGTTATTGCATAAAGAAGTTAAGACTTGGGACTGTCTGGTAACAGGATCCAGCAGTTCAACAATTCTTTGGTGACATCTCCTCTTAGCAATTATTAAAGCAGTTTTTCCCTTGTTTTCTCGTATATTTGCATCAGCATTATGTTTCAGCATTAATTCAATAGCTTGTGCATGACCTTTTGCACTGGCAAACATCAAAGCAGTCCATCCATTTTTATCTTGAATGTTAACATCAGCACCTTCTTCAAGTAACAGTTCCACAACCTGGTGATGACCCTTTTCACTGGCAATCATTAGAGCAGTCCATCCATTATAACTTTGAATGTTAAAATTGGCACCTATTTTAAGTAATAGTTCCACAACCTGGTGATGACCTTTATAAATGGCAATCATTAGAGCAGTCCATCCATTACCTCTTTGAATGTTAACATCAGATTCCTCTAGTAGCAGTTCTACAACCTGGTGATGGCCATTTTTACTAGCTACATACAAAGCAGTCCGTCCTCCTTTATCTTGCATATTAACATAGGCATTATGTTTCAGTAATAATTCAACAGTTTGTGTATGACCTCTTTCACTAGCCAGCATTAGTGCAGTTGCACCTTGATCACAAGTTTGAATTTCAATATAAGCACCATTTTTAAGTAAAAGTTCGACAACCTGGTAATGATCTATGTGACTGGCAATCATTAGAGCAGTCCATCCATAAGGATCATTGCTCTGAATGTTAACATAAGATCCTTTCTTAAGTAGCAGTTCCACAACTTGATGATAACCATTCTGACTGGCAATCATTACAGCAGTCCATCCATCGTTGCTTTGAATGTTAACATCAGATCCATTTTTGAGTAACAGCTCCACAACCTCATGATGACCATTTTGACTGGCAATCATTAGAGCAGTCCATCCATCACTGAATTGAATGTTAGCATCAGCACTTTCTTTTAATAATGATTTCACAATCTGATGATGACCATTCTGACTGGCAGTCATAAGAGCAGTCTCTCCATCATTTTCTTGAATGTTAACATCAGCACCTTCTTTAAGTAACAGTTCCACAACCTGGTGATGACCATTCTGACTGGCAATCATTAGAGCAGTCCATCCATTATTATTTTGAATGTTAACATAGGCACCTTCTTTGAGTAACAGTTCTACAACCTGGTGATGACAATTTTTACTAGCTATATACAAAGCAGTTTGCCCTTTTTTATCTTGTACATTAACATCAGCATTATGTTTCAGTAATAATTCAATAACTTGTGTATGACCTTTTTCACTGGCTAGTGTTAGTGCAGTTGTTCCTTGGTCATCATAAGTTTGAAATTCAGTATCAGCACCTTTTTTAAGTAACAATTCTACAATTTGATGATGACCGTTATGGCTGGCATATATTAGAGCAGTCACTCCATTTTTATCTTGAATGTTAACGTGAGATCCTTTGTCAAGTAAGAGTTTCACAACCTGGTGATGACCATTTTTACTGGCAATTATCAAAGCAGTCCAACCATTTTTGATGTAAATGTTAACATCACATCCTTTTTTGAGTAACAGCTCCACAACCCAGTCATGACCTTCTCTACTAGCTACATATAAAGCAGTCTTTCCTTTTTTACTCTGTACATTAGCATCAGCATTATGTTTCAGTAATAATTCAATAACTTGTGAATGACCTTTTTCACTGGCCAGCATTAGTGCAGTTGTTCCTTGTTTATGAGTTTGAATATCAGTATCAGCACCTTTTTTAAGTAACAAGTCTACAATTTGATGATGACCATTATGACTGGCATCCATTAGAGCAGTCACTCCATATTTATCTTGAATGTTAACATAAGATCCATTGTCAAGTAACAGTTCCACAACCTGGTAATGACCACTATGACTGGCAAACATTAGAGCAGTCTCTCCTCCATCATTTTCTTGAATGTTAACATCAGCACCTTCTTTAAGTAACAATTCCACAACCTGGTGATGACCATAGGCACTGGCACCCATTAGAGCAGTCTCTCCATCATTGCCTTGAATGTTAACATCAACACCTCCTTTGATTAACAGTTTCACAAGCTGGTAATGACCATTGATAATAGCATTTATTAGAGCAGTCCACCTTTTTTCATTCTTTATATTAACATCAGCATTATTTTTCAGTAATAACTGAGCTTGTGTATGACGTGCAGTTGCACCTTGATCACAAGTTTGAATTTCAGTACCAGTACCATTTTTAAGTAATAGCTCCACAACCTGAGGACGATCACTTTTACTGGCAGCCATCGGAGCAGCTCCTCTATTATTACCTTGAATGTTAGCACCAGATCCTTTTTTGAGTAACAGTTCTGCAATCTTATGATGACCATTATGACTGGCAGCAATTAGAGCAGTCTCTCCATTGTTGTCTTGAATGTTAACATCAGATCCTTCTTTGAGTAACAGTTCCACAACTTGATGTAGACCCCTTGCACTAGCTATATACAAAGCAGTCTGTCCTTGTTTATTTCGTACATTAGCATTAGTAGTATGCTTCAGTAATAACTCAATAACTTGTGTATGAGCTTTCTCACTAGCCAGCATTAGTGCAGTTGCCCCTTGGTCATAAGTTTGAATTTCAGTATTAGCACCTTTTTTAAGTAGCAGTCCCACAGCCTTGTGATAATTCATTTTACTAGCAATCAGTAGTGCAGTCCATCCATAAGGATCATTGCTTTGACTGTTAACATGAGATTCTTTGTTGCTAAGTAACAGTTCTACAACTTGATGATGACCATTTTGAATGGCAATCATTACAGCAGTCCATCCATCATTGCTTTGAATGTTAACATCAGATCCATTTTTGAGTAACAGCTCCACAACCTGGTGATGACCATTTTGACTGGCAATCATTAGAGCAGTCCATCCATCATTGAATTGAGTGTTAACATCAGCACCTTCTGTTAATAATGATTCCACAATCTGGTGATGACCATTCTGACTGGCAGTCATAAGAGCAGTCTCTCCAGCATTGTCTTGAATGTCAACATCAGCACCTTTTATAAGTAACAGTTCCACAACCTGGTGATGACCATTCTGACTGGCAATCATTAGAGCAGTCCATCCATTAATGTTTTGAATGTTAATATTGGCACCTACTTTAAGTAACAGTTCCACAACCTGGTGATGCCCATTTTCACTGGCAATCAATAGAGCAGTCCATCCATTAATGTTTTGAATGTTAACATCAGCACCTTTTTTAAGTAATAGTTCCACAACCTGGTGATGACCTTTATAAATGGCAATCATTAGAGCAGTCCATCCATTACCGCTTTGAATGTCAACATCAGATTCATCTAGTAGCAGTTCTACAACCTGGTGATGGCCATTTTGAATGGCAATCATTAGAGCAGTCCATCCATCATTGAATTGAGTGTTAACATCAGCACTTTCTTTTAATAATGATTCCACAATCTGGTGATGACCATTCTGACTGGCAGTCATAAGAGCAGTCTCTCCATCATTGTCTTGAATGTTAACATTAGCACCTTCTTTAAGTAACAGTTCCACAACCTGGTGGTGACCATTCTGACTGGCAATCATTAGAGCAGTCCATCCATTATTATTTTGAATGTTAACATGAGCACTTTCTGTTAATAATGATTTCACAACCTGGTGATGACCATTCTGACTGGCAATCATAAGAGCAGTCTCTTCATCATTGTCTTGAATGTTAACATCAGCACCTTCTTTAAGTAACAGTTCCACAATCTGGTGATGACCATTCTGACTGGCAATCATTAGAGCAGTCCATCCATTATTATTCTGAATGTTAACATTGGCATCTTCTTTGAGTAACAGTTCTACAACTTGGTGATGACAATTTTTACTAGCTATATACAGAGCAGTTTGCCCTTTTTTATCTTGAATGTTAAAATTAGCATCATTTTTCAGTAATAAATCAATAACTTGCGTATGACTTTTAGCACTGGCCAGCATTAATGCAGTTGCTCCTTGGCTATGAGTTTGGAGTTTAGTATCAGCACCTTCTCTAAGTAGCAATTCCACAATCTGATAATGGCCATTGTCACTGGCAATCATAAGAGCTGTCTGTTCATCCTCATTTTTATAATCTATGTTAATCTTTAACTGTAAAAGTAGCTCCAAATGCCATTGCATAAGGGAACCTGATTTAGCAATATCAAGGAGAAATTTTTCAAAGTTGACACATTCATCAAATGATTTTAAGATAAAGTGATCACAAACTCTCATTTCAATTATACCAATTTGATACATAAAACTTATTTTTGAGAATGCTTTTTTTATCAATGGTTCAGATTGAGAAATTGGTGCTGAATATTTGATGCATATCGATCCTTTAACAATGCGAATGTGACTCAACACTCTACTATCATCACTATAGAGGTGGTAGATAACTTTTTTAAAGCTTGCTAGTATTACTGGCCCCCACCTTCTGTCAAGTTTAAAAACAACTTCACAAACTGCATCAGTTGAGTCATGAGTGGGCTCTATTGTTTCTTCTATAATATCTATTATATGCTGCAAAGAAGATGATTTTTCAAATGTATTTAATTTTTGCACATAATTTCTTATTTTGATTTGTACATCACATTTTGTGGGCAAAAACATTCCAGCTATTTCATGAACCAAGTGACAGTTAAGAAATGAATAATGTGGCTTAATCTTACTGAAAAGGTGATCAACACTTGTAATTTCAGATAGACCAGTTACACCAAGATATTCTTCAACATATATGCATATAGCCTTTATTTCTTTAGTGCTGGTAGATTCAGCTAGGATTATTCTGATCTCTGTTACCAAAGAAGTAAAGTCTCTTTTTAGATCTTGAATATTTTGTAAGACTTGACTTTCTGAACTGATCCTGACAGTTACTTCATTTTGAGCTCTTCTAATGCTAACTTGACTTTCATGTAATGAATCTGTTAATAAAGAGAATTAAACATTTAATTAGCAATACTCGGATTCTTTACTTGTCACTTCATGTTTATCAGAACTATGTAACTCAATTAGTAGAGGAACGTCTAAACAAAGTTGACTTAAAACATATGCATCATAAAAAAATCATTTACTGTGGTTATTTGATAGTGTATCAGAAATTACAGTTAGCCCAACTTCTTTTAGTGAAGTAATGAAAGAAAAAAATACACCACTAGGATTTGAATGGGTCTTAAGTATTGACAATAATGAATAGACTAATTTGTTAGCTCTGTCATAAGGAGAAATGCTAGTATTCTGAACTGCAATATGTACTGCTTCAGGAATACACTCGAGTGAGAAAAGAGAATCATTCAATTGAGATATGACTTCAACATTTCCAGCTAATGTGATACAAATATTGGCAAAATTCTTCTTTAATGTGTCATACTCTATTTTATTTAATATAAAGTTAATTTGTAACATACATTCATTTTTTACCTCTTACTGTTGATGAACCAGTTTTATTGCTGTGATGAGGAGACATAGGCTCAGCCTGGAAATTTTTTTCTTGCAATGAAATTGACAGAGGATGTTGCTCTGGCGTTGTTCTGTTGCTCTGTTCTTGAATTTTATTGATGATATCAGAAGAAACAACTTCATGTGAAACATCTACAGACACTGCGTACACCAAATGTAAAAATCAATAAAATAAATTTACATGCATTTACCTTCTTCTAATTGAAGTTTAATTCTGAACCATTCTGCTGCTAAATGACTATGGAAATCTTCATGGGCTTCACCTTGAGACAAAATACAACCAAGAAATAGCTCATAACGGTCCATCAAGTGTGATACACCTTGTATTGAATGCAACTCAGCCATTAACTCATCAATAATGCCATTGAATGTTAATGAAACTGATTGAGATATTAAGTTAACAGCAAAGATCTGAGCAATTGCTTCTTTCATGTAGTAATTTGATGCTTTCTCTAATTCATCAGAATGCATGCGAAGGGACTCCTCAATCAGTTTACAAGCTATTAAAAATTAATCAATCAGATCTACAGTGCAGTGCATACTTGCCTTGTTCAATAGTGATAGGACCAGGATTCAGTTCCACATCTCCTGATAGAAGGATCAACTGAAATAATAAAAATACCAATAGAAAACAAGAGCATCCAACAAGCCACGCAAATTTCACACCACAGACCCTAGCTCCAGTACCAGTAGTTTCATTATTCATCCAGTCTAGAGGATCAGTTACCTCAGTCTGATGGCTATTGCCGTGTTGTGACTTCCGTAACCCTGCTCCACGGTGACTGCTACATAAACGACAGTGCCAAAGACCAATGGCAGCTCTCCACTGAGAAAGATCAACCATTTCTGCGGAAGAAAAGAAACGAGGGGATGAATTAGACTAAGTTTGTCAAAATGAGAGGCTTTTAAAGGGCTCTTGACTCTTTAGTTTGGTTTGGTATGCAAACTTGATACTCCTACTGGTGAAAGGTGTGGCTACATAAAATGTCTTTCTAATAGCCATATTGCTGCCTTGCATCCAGTTCTTATTATTTGTGAGAATATCTGGTAACCTGGAGCTTAAACGATAATAACACATACAATATTGAGAATCAGCACTACAATAGCGATTAGCTAGAGTTGCTGCACGTAGTAAAGTTAGCAGAGATCAAGTTAAAATACTTTTACAACAAAAAGAGAAAATGAAAATGCTCTAAGATTACAGAACTTAAATACAAAACATAACAAAGAAAGGACACTATTGTACACAGGTAACTAACAAAGGGTCTATATGGAGTAGACAAGTGAGTCCTAGTAGACAAGTGAGTCCTCATGAGCTGGACAGAGCTGTCCAGCTCATTGTACATTACACAAAAGAGGGCATAAGGCCATAGGAACATGAGATCATACATTAATTAAAAGCATATGTTTATGTAAATACTAATTAACACAAAATACACAACCTACTAATTACATGTATACATATGTCATACATATTACAACATACAATGCATAATATAATAGGTATAATTTTTATTATATGTTCGGCATCATGTTCTAAACCAGTTCAAGATGATCCAGTTCATGATCTCTACAATCCTTTACACTCTAGTAATAAACAACAAACAAGAACACTAAAAAATAACAATTAGAGCTAACGTCCAATAACGTACTACATATAGATCTATTGCATAGTATAACACAACAAAATGGAGATATACTTTTAAAAGTTCTTCATCTTTTTCTTCTCTATTCAACAGCTCCCTTAACTGACTATGTAAACATAAAATGACCATTTTTGTGAGGCTCCATCAATATTAACATACTCATTGTAATAAGCTTGTTCAGCAGCAACAGTACAAGCCATTACTGCCTCTTTACCTAATAATGCACTACCAGCACCTGATAATGGGAGAGAGAGAGGAGTGGAGAATAGGACAAAGGAGAAAGGAATACATTTAAGTTATTAATGAGTAATTGCAGTGACTGTTATATCATACCCAGTACACATCCTGCATCCAGCTATGTTCCACAGAGGCATCAAAGCAGTAGGTCTCACTCTTCTTTCCTTAACTAGTCTTTCAAATAATCCTAAATGGGCTTTCTCTTACTCCCACATATGCTATCATAATAATAATAATAATATAATTTATGATTTATAATAGTAGGAGCATTGCAAGATTTCAATTCAAATAAATAGCAAACCATGCATAGTAGGTGATAGGGTAGTTAAGGATTCTAATCACCAAAGTGTTTTGTCAACAGGAAAAAATCCTGTTGTTTATTTTACATTTTGCTCTAGATGTTAAAAAGAAACAATATCTTTAAAAGGATACACTGAAACTACAAAACTGTAAAGTTAACGATCACAATAATAAGTCATTGTGGCATAGTCTCATAAACAGCATCAGGTGACACTTGACATTCATCATAGACTCTGTTCTCTTCACTTAGTTTAGTCTTGTGAAGATCATATGGTTCACATACTTGCATTGCAATATCATCATCAGCTCTACAATGTGATTGATGTGCATCAGTTAGTAGCTAGTCCATAATCATGCTTACTTTGCTTGTTTGGTACCTTTAGGACCTCTCATTCTGAAAGATATCAAATTAATAATTTATAAAAATGACTCATTAACAGTACCTTATAAAGGAATATATATTGAAAATGACACTTACAGTCAGTAAAATAAACAATACACCTACTGACACACTAAATGCAATATCTCTATCATTACATAATGTGCTTGAAGTAGTACTTGGATATACTGTTTATAAATTAATGGTTAATTCTTAATGATAGATAATATACTTACTGAATATTGAAGGTGATGTTGATACTAATGCACTTGAAGGTGGCTGAATTAGTAGTTCTAGTGTTTCATTAGCAATAATTGTCCATAGTCCATATCCATTATCAGTGTATGCACGTACACCAAAAATATAACAAGACATAGCATTAAGACCAGTAATGTTAATAGATCTAAATGTACTGCTACTGGGGGTATCAACAGTTTCTGTGGCATCAGTATTAAAATTATTAGTAGCTATTATACAGTTTTCAGACTGTAAGATATGATATCCTATCTCATATGTGACAATGGGATAGTCTGATGGAATATAACTAGGTACACTCCATGAGATAACAGCCCATGTAGTGTCCATGATACTGGATACTGAACCAACTGGACCAGGTACTAAATAAAAACTTATCCTCACAAAACTGATATAGTATAATAATTACATACCTATTCCAATCTCTACTACAATTGGATCACTGAAGGGACCTCTTCCAACAGAATTGACAGCAGCTACACTGATGTTATACTCAGTACCAAATACTAGATCATTCAATATGAAATATCTCTCAGTACTGGTGAGGTTGTATGTGATACTACTGTTACTGATAATGACTGTATAGCCTGTGATTAGACCATTACGCTGAGAACAATTAACCTCATTCCAAGTGAATCTATTAGCTGTAAAATTTACAGGTAAAATTTGAAGTGATGAAGGCCAACAACTAGGAACTATAAATTATAAGGTAACTATAAGTTAGTGAAATAAATAATATCATTACTTATTGCTTCAGTTTGTATAGATCTAGCCATGTTCAATTCAGACTCTCCTAGTACATTACCAGCTCTCACTGTGATGGTATAATTCATACCACTGTACAGACCTATTAATGTATAACTGTATGTTGTAGTGGACTGATGAGGAGCAACAGAGACTGTCTCATTCACTGATGATAACTGGGGACAAGGTGGAGTATAGGAGATGGTGTAGTATGTTACATAGTTGTCACTACTGGGAATAATCCAGTTCACTGTAATACCAGTGGTTGAGACATTAGATACTGAAAGACTAGTTACAGGACTAGGAACTACAACAGATATCAATTACACTCTCACAATGATAGTAACTCACCATCAAACTTTAACACTGTTACTGTACTATTAACTGAAGGAAGATCTATATATGAGTACACACTGATGTTATAGGTATTCATTGATGGTGAGAGATCTGTTAGTACAATTTCATTTTCACTGGTAGGTACTACATTCCTGGTTAAACCTCCAGTAGTATACTCAATTACATATCCATTAGTCTCTGATGAATTGGTCCAGTTCACTTTAATGCTGTTAGCATTTAATATAAACCCTCGCACATTATTTGGAGGACCACTAGGAGCTAGGAAATTTTTAAAAATTAAGGTATCTACTATTAATTAAAGTACTTTAATCATACCATGTAATATCACAGATTGACTGTAGTTGACTCCTCCAATCATTGCTATACAGGTAACATTAACTGACACTCCCAGTGGATCAGGATATACCAGTAGTGTGTTGTTGTATGTCAGGACATCAATTGATGTATACATTGAGTTACTCTTCATCATTTCATTCACTAACCAGTAAACATCAGTTGAAGGATTTATATCAGTAGTTGTGAGACAATCAATACGATATTGAGTATTATTGAGTTGTGTAATGGATGATACTAGTGTCCAATTAATTGAACTAATAACTAGAAATACATCAACAATGTTACAAGTACATTAAAAGGTACAGTAGCAATACCTGGTAAGGTCTGTACACTGATTGTACTAGCAGGTCCCAGTAATTGTTGATAGGCTCTGACTGTGGTGCTATGAGTTGTTCCCCCTTTCAGCCCATTCAGTGTGATTGTATTATTACTACTTCCCTCCACCTGTACTGTCTGCACAGTGTCAGTGTCACTAGTGACATTGACTACATATCCATCAGCATCAATTGAATCAAGTGCAGTCCAACTGACAGTGATAGTGGTAATTGTCTTGCTGACCTCAGTAAGAGAAGAGGGAGCAGCTGCTGGTACTATAAGGAGACATAACTGCATGTATTATTGTAAAAGTGTATGTGTATTACCTTTAATGGTTAAAGTACGTGTTCTATCAGCACCACTAAGATTATCTAGTACACACTGGTACATTTGATCTCCAGTGGTTGATTGACTGATTGATCCACTACTGACAGTCATTCCATCCCATGTGATATTAACAGTATATCTTATTGTGTTGGTGCTATCAACTAACTCAGTACCAGGACAAGGGGAATGATGTACATAATCTTCACAATTAGTGTATCTAACCAGTGCAGTGCTACCAATGCTCATACTAATACCATACTTATTGTACCCGATTTTAGTACAATTCAGTTTGTATTCCTGAGGATATACTGTCATATCAGAAGGAAGACCAGCAACAGTAAATGATTCTACTTCACAATATCCTACAAATGAAATTATTACATCAGTAAGTGATTATAGTCTCCTCTTACTGAATACATTAGCAAAGATGATGTTAGTGTTAGGATCTGAACAATTAGTAGGAAGACAACACTTATACCAGCCTTCTTGAGCTGCTGATAGTCCCTGAGCAAGATAAAGATTGAGAGTAGCATTAGGTGAAGTAACATTAGTACAAAGGAAAGGATCACTGGCACTATTACTGTTACAGTCAACAGGATCATCAGGATCAGCAGCTCTAACCCACTGACCAGTAGTTAGACTAGTACCAGGTAACACACATGATATAGCTTCATTAGCTGCATTGACACTACTATCCCAAAAATATGATCCATTAGTATAGCAGTTTCCATTATGCATCAGGTAGATACCTATAAAAACCTATACAGTTGTTATTATACTCATCCAGTGTCTACCTGAGGAAGGTGGACACTGACTAATGACTTCACTGACACTCAACAAGAAGACAACAGACACCATTAGCACTGACACTGCCATTTTACCCATTATGAATAATACTATGGACTGCTCCTGTTGCATTTCCTTCTCAAACGCTTTTATGAATAAACTTGTAATATGTTGTTTTCTCATCATCGCACAATGCTATGAATAATATGTTTATGGTATTAATACATCATTAAAGAATAAACTATGCACCATGCCATAAACCTATTATTGAATGCAGTCAAAGCATCTTCATGATGAATGGTACACGTAACTGCAGCTTATTGCTAACGCTAATAATAATAATAAATCATTTTGTTACTTATTAAAATTTCCACACAATAATAGATAATATTAAAGTTTAGCTTTCAACTCTTCCTTAGTCACAGTTTCCAGGTGTACAATATCAGGTCCATCAGCAATTCTTAATGAGCGAGCATACACATACCAGTGAGCCAATGGACTATCCTGTGACACTCCCAGTGCCCCATGCAACTGTATGGCTCTGTCAATTACACTGCATGCCATGCGTGGAGCAACAACTTTAATTGCAGCAATCTGTTAATGGATAAATGAATGAAAATTAATACTTTTTGTGTGTTTGGTAAAGTAAAAAAGTATAAACACACAGCTATAATAGTAAATGGTAATTACTTGTTTACGAGCTTTCTTCGGTCCCAGTGTATCAACAGCTGCAGCAGTATGAAGAACCAACAGCCGACACTGATCAATCTCAAGCCTTGACTCAGCAATAGAGGTCCTAACAGTTTGCTAAAGGTAAAGAAGGAGATACGATACATTAATAATGATCATTCCTCCATACCTGATGCACTAGCTTCTTTCCAAAAGCTTCCCTAGAGAGAGCTCTACTGCACATGAGATCTAATGTCCTCTCAGCTACACCAATGGACCTCATGCAGTGATGTATCCTGCCTGGACCCAATCTACCTTGGGCTATCTCAAACCCTCTACCTTCACCTGTTAAGAATGAGAGTATATTAAAGTACATTTAATACTTAAAATACCTAGGATGAGGTTACCAGCTGGAACTCTAACATGATCGTAATTGATCTCATAGTGACCATGAGGTGCATCTAACAATAAATAAATAAATAAATAAATAATAATAATAAATCTAATCTACCAAGGTATCCAAAGACAGAGAGTGGGCGAATCTTTTTGACCCCAGGTGTGTCCAAGGAAACAATAATCATGGAATGTCTCTTGAGTCTAAAGTAAGTGAACCCAAAGCTAAAGGTTAATGAAATACATTAAAGAACCTGTCAGCATTAGGATTAGTCACTCCCATTACAATGGCTACCTTGCATCTTGGGTCCCCGGCACCTAAAATAAATTATAATCACATGAATGATTCATGATTATGTCACATGACATAATTTTAATGATACCTACCACTGGACCACCACTTTATTCCATTGACCTCATATTCATTCCCTACCCTAGTGATAGTACACTGCATGTTACTAGCATCACTGGATGCTACATCTGGTTCTACATAAGTTCAATAACACTCAATAAATCCTCTTCTTTATCTCTTTCTCTACTTACCCGACATTGAGAAGCAGGATCTTATCTTTCCATTCAGTAATGGCTGCAACCATTTCTCCTTCTGCTCATGATTCCCATACAAGTACAGTACCTCCATATTCCCAGTATCAGGAGCATTGCAATTAAACACTTCAGAAGCAAAAGGACACCGCCCCATCTCTTCGGCCATAGGAGCATACTCAAACTGGCTCAATCCTGATACTCCTGAGAGGAACAGGTTCCATAAACCAGCCATACGAGCTTTGTCCTTCAATTCTTCAATGATAGGAGGAATAGTCCATGTATTCTCTGGCTTACTAACATATTCATAAACCTCCTAAAAACACAAAACATGATAAATTGTCATTAGCCATTTCTCCTCTCCATTTCTTAACTGACCTTCTCTGCTGGATAAATGTAGTCATCCATAAACTCTTTCACTTGAGCTAATATCTGACGTCCTCTCTGAGAAAATTTGCCAGATTCCAAGTAAGACGGGAATGGATAGTTAGCAACAAACCTGGGACTAAATATAATTATATAATAGAGTATGATAATAACACTGCATACTCAAAGAAAGAGCATCCAGTTTTTGCAAGTGGACGAACAACATGTTTGAATCTATCAGTGAAGCTACTGCTGGCATTGCCATGAAGACCTCTGGCATACACACCCTAAAATCAAGTTTAAAAGTACATTATAATTGACTGCCAATAATAAAGTCTGCCATAATTATTGTTTTATTCTACACATGCTCAATGACACATGACAATAATTTTCCCAATATGTGTAATAGGAAAAAGTTGCATTACTTTCTTACTTGTGCGATTGCTGCCATTCTAAAGCAGGCAAGAGCTCTAAAGTAAGGCCAGTTTGGTATGGGATGTGGTATTCTAGCAATCTCTGAATACCATCCAGTTAATGCAGCCTCAGTAGGAGCACCTGGTACACTATGAACAGTTAGCTCATTTGGTAATGGAAGGTATATCATGCAGAGATGAGCCAAGTCAGACAATGGGTGCCCCAATGTACTCAGCTCCCAGTCAAGAACTGCTATCACTTTAGGCTAATAGAATATAAAGGGACTGTCTCAATTATTAGTTCTTACTTCAGTAGGATGGAAAATTACATTTTCAGGTCTATAATCGCCATGAACTATACCTGCAAAAATATAATTATACATAGTATTTATATAATAATGAAAGAACATACAGATTGGATGAGGTTGGTCTGGTATGTTTCTAGGCAGCCAATCCATCAGCACTTCCATTTCATTTGCCGGTTCACCATCAATACAAGACATACGATAATTACTGGACCACACAGTAACCTAAAATAAAATAAGATAATAATTACAACAGATTGGTTACAAAAGCTTGATGATAACTTACCTGTCTTTCACAGTAGCTTTTCTTGCTCCTCCCCCCATATCCCTTGAGTCCTAATAGCTTCCAATTAATCGAATGTAAGTGTGCCAGCGTCTCAACCAGTGACTTGTATAGTAGTCTCCTCTCATCCGGACTCACTCCAGGGAATGCAGCTTGTCGGAATATCCGCCCACGCACCCTCTCCATCACATAAAAGCTAGCACCAATAACATCATTATTAGTACAGAGACAGAGTGGGCGTGGTACCGGGAAATTGACCGAAAAGAGTGCCGTCATGATTTTGAACTCTCTATCAACCTGAATAAGAAAAGATGGAAATGAAATTACTGATACTAGGGGTTTGGTGCAGGAAAAAAGGGAGGGTCTGGTACATAATGTGAATTGATAATTTGACATACCCTATGTGCTCCATACAGCAGCTCCCCTGATGGTTGCTTTCTCAATACATACTCCTGTCCAGCGTCAGTTGAAATCAGAAAGGTTGGATTAGACTGACCATGTCTAGAGAAGTACATAATATTGTCATCATTTTGATTAAAAATAAAAGCTATTTTCTCTCTCAATCATTTGCTTGGCCTCACTTAAATTGATGTATTCTTAGTTTTCCTTTGTTACACCTAAATCCTGGTAGCTTGTCGTGTAGGAATATGTGCAGTCTGTCCAAGTTAAACTTGTGCCTAGCTGGAACGTCGATTAGGTCGTCAGACATTTTCAGCCACACCTCCAAATGTAGCTAAACCACGCCCACTCATTGCACCACCCGGTACCCACACATTTAAATTAAAAGGTAATTATTAATTTTATCTTTTTTTTATCCATTCATCACTACTGTCACTGCTATCTGTGTCTCTTCTTTTGTGATGTTTTTTCTTTTTGTGTCGGTGACTGTCCTTGAGCCGAGAGCTCTCACTCTCTCTCTTTCTCCTCTTTCTCTCTGATTTCTCATCATAGCTATCTTTATGATGATATTTATGCTTTGATTGTGATCTTCTTGACGATACTCTCTCTTCTTCACTCAAATCTTCCTCTTCCTCCTCCTCCTTCCTCCGATGTTTTTTCTTCTGATGTTTATCATTCTTTTCTGCTTTAGTGAGCTTCCTAAATAATAATAATTATTATTATTATCATTAATTAAAATTAAAATGCTATGTAAAAATAATACAGTACAGCGCAAGACTTTCAAGGGGTGTAAATTTCACAAATTTGCTGAAAAATCTATTTTTAGACTTCATTTTTGTAAACTTATATCACAGCCCTCAAAAAATTTAGCAGTGGTACAGTAATAGAAATAATATGAATAATTGGTGTCTCACTTGAGTAGACGTTTGCGTTGCTCGGGTGGAAATTGTTCTAAGAGTTTTGCTAATTCCTTTTCTTCATCATCATCAGAGACAACAAACTGCTGAAGAGGATCACTGGAGTCTATGACACGATCTTTGACGCATTGTTTGAATTTTAGGCCATCATTGATACTGTCCCAGTCGGTTATGATTGGTACTTCAAAAGGTTTGGCTAGTAGAGAGTTAACAATAAGATAAACTTATAAAATATAGTCTTCACGTACCTTGACTCTCTGGCCTTGCTTTTCCAAACAATGGACACTACAAAAACAACAAAGCACACATCATTTCTCCATTTTCTTATTTCACACAAATTAAAATTCTTACCTAGTTATTTTTGGCAAAATTTGGCCCGAGACCATGTACAGGGACAAATTTGGCCTGGTTTTTGAGCAACTTAAAATTTGCAAAAAATCTAATTTTGATCGTAATTAGCTAAACTTTAAAAACAACGTAAGAACCTGTACAGTATATGCATCAGGAAAAATCATTAAAATGGAGAATGCTTTCCTAGTGATTTTGAGAAAATACTATGCATTATATATAGTCTATGGTCTTTGGCCAGATTTTTAACAGATTTATTACAGCCCCATCACGCCCATGTCTGTTAGTTACCTCTTTGTCAGTATTAATATGTCCCCATTTTCCACATTTGATGCACTTCACATTTCTAACCTCAATACCAAACGGTTGGTCAACTATACGATCGTTGTCCTTAGCAAAACTAAATAAAAAATGCTGGCAATAACATTGTGAGGCTGTTGTAGACTTTTAAAATGTAGACTGCAATCATGCATAATGCATTCAAATGCTCATAAAAAATGTCACATGTACACTTTCGTTACATGTACACTTTAGTGCTGCTTGCCTCTCTCTGGGTGGAGCTTTGTCCTGTCTCTGCCAGTCAAACTTCACTGCAGAACCATCTTCGGCTTTTTCTTTATCCTAAACACAATAGTAAAGGAAGACATTATGACTGAGACACACCTTTTTATCATCTAAAAAGAAAATTTAGTTTGTATAATATAATGATTATCATCATCATCATTACCTTTAGCAAATGATGGCGGAGGCTCATACATGAAATCCATAGGATTTGCTTTCCCAATCAGTTCCCTGTACACCAGTAGTAGTACACTGTTATAATTACATTAAATTTCTTCATTACTTTGACTTGTATATTTCTTGTTCTTTGAAGTACTGCTGGCGTAGCTCCTCCTGCCTCTTCTCATCCAATTTTAATTGTTCCTTAGCCTCCCATACCTACCAACAATAGTCTCGCATTAATATTATTTACTTCTCATCATGTACTTTTCTCAAATTCCTCAAACTACCAGGATGAAAATCCTTGTTGCCCATAAAATTTTCATAGCTGTGCGCCATCTTGGTTATGGGCGTGGCTAGACAATTAGCGCCACGCCTATTTGTGACGCGTGGGTGGTAGATCTATACAAATTTTTGAGGGGTTTGAATTTCATTTTGTTGCTTAGCAATCATGCAAAACAAAAATAGCACATTAGTCCATTCATTAGAGTTGCTGCATTCCTTGCACTTGAAGTAGACCATAGATAATGGGATTGAAAACTTCTTAAATATAATATGAACAAAAATTACAAGTTAAAAAGTTACACACTTTAAAAATACATTATGGTGCCACCGATGATGCCTGGCTATCATTTCCAGTTTGTTTTGTTGCTTCATTTTTCTTGTCAGGAGCTGCACTTTGACTGCTGCTACTGCTGCTGCTTGATGAAGAGCTTGAGGGACGATCTTTCGTTGGAAAGACTTCCTCTGAATTCTCTCTAACTGGTGGTAAAGTGGGACGCATGTTAGGATTCACCTATCAAAAATAAATCCAAAATTCATTATTGCATTCAATTTAAAGCAAGCACTTACAGGTGGTAAAGAAAATCCACTAGCAGTACTCATTGCTCTTTTGGGAGGCAGCTTGAGGTTAAGAGCACTTGTTTGTGGCGTTCTAAATAAAAAATTGTCATTTATCATTTCAAATTTACATCAATGACTCCTCTTACAATAGAGGCCTGACTTGGTTTGAAGCAAAAGACATAGCACGAGCTGGTGGAGCTCTGGGTTTATCAAACCCAACAACAGGAACTGTGCCAGAGACATCAGTGATCACTGAGTTCTTGCGTGCTATAAGAAGTAAGAATATGTAAAAAGAATTTTGAAATTCCATTTTACTTTATTACTTACATAGTTGTCCTGGCTGGAATCTCTCGCTTGAGCTGAGGTTTAACTTTTGCTGCGAGAGCTCTTTCCGTAGCCTAATGTTCTCCTGCTTCAGATTGTTAATTTGGGTTTTTGAGCCACCGTAAACACAGCAAAGAATGTATCGATAGAAGGCATCGTTCTTGTATTTCCACATGCAGAACAGGAGAATCATAATTACTATCACAAGTATCAGTATCACAACAACAACAACTATAATAGCAATAATGACAGGAGAAAGTGGAGAGGAAGCTACTGGAGGCATTGTAGCACATGATACACCATCAGTACTGCTACAAACTATATAAAGTATTAAAATATAATTATTTGTATGAGCATTACAGCAATAGGCATGCATACCTTGCTGTCTGCAGAGGTATGGCAATACACTTGAATCACAAAAATGATTGTGAACTTTCCAGCCATCAATTGTAAATTTAACGCAATCGAAAGCAACTTCATTAGTCTCTGCTGCACTCCCACCAAACCAGTTTGTGTATGAAATGTTGGGTAGTATCAGCGTGTCACCTTCCACCCACCTATGAACATATTATAAATGAACATAATTTGTAATTATAATAATGCGTACTTGAAAACTCCTTCAGTAACTTGGTCAGTTAACCCAATCCAAAATTCCGGAGCACTATTGAGATAAGTGTCTCTGATGTAATTGTTCTCTTCATCAGAGTCAATCTTGACAAGGTAGCCATTGTTTCTTACACAGGTCCTGTTTGCTGTTGAGAAATCCCCTTTTGTAAGGAATAGAACATAGCAGTAATCTGAATTGGGTCTATGATGGTAGAGGGATCCTTCCTTGAGCCCGGTATTGTTACATATTGTAACTGCTGCAGTGATTATAAATAAAATATCACTTCAATTTGCTCTTACTTTGAGCTCTTGCTCCTTGCAGTGAAAGAAGAAATGCCAAGCTAAACAGCAGCATCCTTCTTGCTGCAGCTATTCTGCAGAGACTGGGAGGCGTAGCTGGTCAAATTCTAATGTTATTCTGTTATTTGTTGCCGTGACTACCAACCAATAATAATATTCATGAGAGGAGATCAATATTCATAACTCCGCCAAGGTCATGATTCTACTGAAGAAGCTGCTGTTGATCTTACTCACATTACTACTGGCTCCACACAGGGTAAGAGTAAACACCACAAGCATGCTTAAATTATGCATAACATTAATCTATTACTAGAGCTATTGCATTGAGCAATGTCAGGACTCAAATGGACAACACTACCAGTAAGTGTATCTAAAAAAACTACTTTACCTTTCCTTGATAAAGCTGTGCCGGATTTTGCTGCCCAGGAGTAGGCTGCTGTTCATATTCTAGCCTATGGTATGCATGGTAGGCCACTGCAGTTTTTACACGATAATAAATAAAATTTTGATATATGTTAGGGCATTGATGGCTCTCATTGTATTGATGTGCCTCTGTGGTTGTGCGGGCTGTGGGGCTAATCGCTATCACTACCACAGAAATGGATATCACAATTTAACGTCATATTCATCCCGTGGCAATGAAGGTATAAAGGGACTTAATTATTAATCCAAAAATATATGCGTCCATAGTTTCCATGGCCAGGCATAATAGATGCAATAGAAATAGGTCAGTTAGATCAAGTCGAAGTCAAAGACCACCCCCGAGCTATAGTTGTCATAACTGTGCTGCAGCAGAATTTGATGGAGGCTGCAGAGAAACCACCCCTCTTCAAAATGCAGAGACTCAACGAGTGCTGCCAGCTAGAGGAGAGAGACCACCTGCTTATACAGCAGTTTTGCCTTCAGCACCATCAGCACCTCCACCGTATTCCTACTATTAAGCTAATATTGTATAATTGTATTATGAAATGTGTGATATATTTGGTATTTCTCATTGTATGTGTGCATGTTTCATTTTTGTTATCAGCTTGCATATTCGTGTGTGCCAACAAAGCTGAAGCAATGAGTGTCAGGACACAGCAAATAATATGACACTTATGTGAACATAAAGAATGAAGAGTGTAATCGATTTGTAAAAACAGAATAACTACTAATGTCAGAGATGGGAGGATCATAATAATGAATAGGGGAATATTCATGATTAATAAGAAATGACTGAATTAAAAAATTGCATTGTTGAATTTCTATTGCATTTGCATACTTCTGGCGTCAGCTGCAGACTGCCTTGCTTTCTGTACTGCTGTAGCAGCCAAGCATCTCTGAACTAGCTCAAAGCCTTCAAACTTTCCCTCATTCTTCGGTTGCCCGTGAGAACCATCTTCAAACGTGATTAGACCAAAACCCTTGACAGATCCTTGTAAAAACTGACCCTAAAATAAAGAGGTGAGTAAAGGATGGTTTACAATATTATGCTAGTCTTGACATTACATTGATGCTATAAGAGGATTTCATTCTATTCTAGTGTAAAGCGTGCATCAAAAGGTTAAAGGGACACATTCACGGAAGCACATCATCTTGAAAAGTGGCCTGTTTTTCAAGATGACATCATTGATGATGACATATAGTGTTGATAACTATTCTTAATGTGTGGCCATGCCCCTAAAATTAAGGCAAAATGGCTATTCAAGTGGCTACTTGTAAATGTTCTTGGTGTTTCTTCACTAAAAAGTGTTTTGGGATGGTAAAAGAGCTAATACTGGTCGAAAGAAGTGTTCTACAGATGCCTACTCCTGGTTCTACACCTGATTGTTCTGTCTGTACTCTCTATATGTGTCTAAACACATGTTACCATACAAGATGATTTATTGGTGAGGAATTAATATTGGCGATTGCCGGTTCTAGGAAGAAATTGCCAATACAAAATCCACCATTTTGTTTCAAACTGAGCATGCTCAATGGCACACGGCACAAAATCGCAAACATAAAATTCGCCGATTTCTTTCCACAGGTAAATTCGCCAAATATTACTCCCACCAATAATCATCTTGTATGGTATAGCTATTAATTTACAGTCTGCTGTATGCCCAGTTCAATGTTTACTTCCTCTACAGTGACGTGTGTATCTATTTCCATGAACATGTCCCTTTAATTACCCAAGCTTTTGATTAAAATTTGACAGCATTGTAAACTAGGCTAAATGGCAAGAAAGGCAATATAATAAATAGTTTCGTTGATCCTTTACCTCATATTTAGTTTTATCTGAATTTGTGTAGATCCCGTACCCATGGTATCTACCTAGCTCAAAGGAGCCCTCATACTTGCTTCCATCAGCATGTACCAACACACCCAGCCCATGGAAGAAACCATTTGTAAATTCTCCACTATAATGATCACCAGTAGCCATCTGTAGCTTCCCCTTGCCTTCCCTTTTACCCTCACTACTCCATTGGCCTTCATAAACGTCTCCTTCACTGTAACGAATGCGTTTGTGGATGGGATCCATTTTGCTACGATAGGCGTTGACAAAGAGAGCTCCTAGATCCTCCTCCCTTTGGAACATGTGAATACACGTGGGCTAAAATAGCCCACGCCCAATTAAAAATTGAGCTGAGGATACGAGAGAGATTCTTCCATTCTAAGGCATTCTTCACAGTGATGTCCATGTCCTATAGTCGGAGAAGTATTATATCATGCTTACTAGTGGAGTCTCTACTCATTCTAATTTTAAGTAAGTAGCATTAATTTTATTTCCCTTGTTGATTATAGTTTTGTTTAGAGCTGGAGCTTGCAAGCAGTCTTTCTTGTCCTTCTTTCAATGCTGAAGGAGATGTTAATATATGTACGAGACCAAACTCCACTGATTGCCAGATAAAGATAAGATTTAACGTTACCATTGATCGATGGATACTAGTCTCTGGAGATTGTGCAGTAAATTGCCAAAACTACACCTATACGACATTCGGTACCACGTTCAAGGTGGGATGCTGTCCAAAAGTGGAAGGCAAAGTTCACTGTCCCCTGGACGGGAGAGTTTTTGGTGATGGCATCAAGCCGCTTCTCCCCCACCGTCCCGACCCAACTCCTTCAGTCGCTCCAAGTCCAAGTAGTACAGCAATGGATGCAAGCAGAACTGGATCTATTCATCCCAACCCAACTATCACTCATGTTGATGGTGATGATCCCACGACTGATCCAAATAATCCAGACATTATCACAAGTGAGTCCATTATAGCTCTATAGCAGTGCATAACATGGTTATATACTTGTATATGATTTAGATTACGTATACCCAGCTGGCATTTGCCTTGAGATTGCAATATTTGCTGTGACTCTAATTGTCTTGATAAGGGAGGGGTATAAGTTCTGCCAGAACAGAATAAGAGAGAGAGCTGCTGCCGATAGGAATCTGCAGCATTAAGGACTGTTAGACTTTGACTACCTAATTTTTTTCTGTTTACATCTGCATTTTTGATTTTCCATGTAAATCAAATATAACATGCCATGCGTCCAGCTCTGTATGGGCTTTGAAACATTTTTCTTTTACAGGCCCAACTCCTCCTACTACTGGTACCTCTGATATAAAAGGGATTTTTGGGATTATTGGTGTCATCATATCAATACCAGGAGTTGTAGTAATAGCATTAGCTGTAAGGAAAATATGTCGCAAGATTTCTAAGCAAAAAGATAATAATAGATCTAACAGCAGTGTATCAGTTACAGTTACAAATTCAAGTAATATCAACTTGAAAATAATTAATTAATTTTTAAAGATATCACTTTTTTGAGCTATTATATTTCTTCTCCTGTGCTTCCCATTGTTTATACAGTTTCTTAATCTTTTTCTCTGAAAGTGGCTCTCCGTTTTCGTCGTGTGTAGGAACCCCTTGATCATCAAACTTTGAGTACTTGTCCATCTGGTCCTTAAACATGTCCCTCGGTTCTATCCTAGCCTGTGCCTCAAGTTTACGCTAGTGAAAGAGAAGAGAGAGAAATATGAAATGAAAAGGAAACTTATCAGTAAATTTGTCTCACCTGGGCCTCCTCCATTTTTTTCTTCTGCTCCTCTTTGGCCTTTCTTTTGATCTCCATTGCCTAGTAAAGCATCACATTACAGTAAGACATAATACAATAATAATTATGTGCTCATAATGTAGTATACCCGTTTTTCAGCTTCTCTTTCTTCAATGAGAGCCTCCTTTCCTACAAGCTTTACAACAGTTCTCTCTATGATGATGAACAATAATAGTAATAATAATACATTATAGTAATAGTACTAACCTTTCTTATCTTCAAGTTTAACTCCTAAATCAAACATCACTTCATCCCTCACCCAATCGCAAAGCTGAAGTACTGGTTTTGCTGGAATAAACAGTAACTGACCTGATCATGATTGATTATACTGACTAACCTTTTGTTTCTAATGCCACCTCACGTACTTTCTCCCTAAAATCAGCCAGTGCTATTGCATAAGGCATCACTACATCTTCCTATAAGGCAACATGTAAATGAATTAAATTCAGACGAAGGCTGATGCATGCACCATGTACATACAATGAGGAACTAATACACTTACAATCCCTTCAGCTTCTTTCTTCATGGAAAACCCAATCCCAGTATCATGGGGTATGACTCCAAAGATTTTAAGAAGGTAAGTCATGTAGTGAGCTATGTCAGCTAAGAGGCGAGCATTGGCGTCGTCTCTCTTAGCATCAATGTAAGTATTGGAGAGGGTGAGGAGCTCCTTTAGTAGTCGGAGAGTGGTGGGAGTGTCAATTGAGTCACAGAGGGCAGTGTGAATGGAAGACTTAATTTTTAGGAATCTATGACAAGAGAGGAAGAGGGAAGGATTAAGATATTAAGTGAAGATAGTAAGAGTGAGGGTATTACTTTCCGTTTAGCTCTTTCTCAGAGTCGGTCCATTTGAAGAATCCTTTCCTTCCTTCAGGACAACGCCACACCATGTCCTTCACAACTAGAAAGAACTCCTAATGTCAAAACAAATGCATACACATGTACAGCACATGTTAGAAATTTAGTACCGTATAGCAAGAAATTTTGGAGGGAATTAAATTTGGCGAATTGGTGTTTTGATAGAAATTCGCCAAATTAAAAATCTGCCATTTTCAGCAATTATACGCATGCTCAATAGCACATGGCAACAAATTCGCCAAATTGAAATCTGCCAATCACCTAAATTTTAGCAATTCGCCAATTTTACTCCCTCCAAAATTTCCCACTATACAGTATAATACAATGCTCACTTTTAGTGCCTTCTCTGTCTGAACTGCTTCCTGCATTGCATTGACTGAGTAATCCATTGTAGCGCTCCACTGGTGAGTGAGGAAGGCAAGTCGAAGCTGAGATGACGTATTGGTCTGAAGGGCTTCTTTTATTGTGATGAAGTTTTTGAGAGACTTTGACATCTTGCAGCCTTCGATGGAGAGGTGGCCGGCATGAAGGAAGTAGTTTATCCAATTATCTGTCTCATAGTACGCCTAGGGAAGAAAGAAGAAGAGAAAGAAGAGAGGAAGGCGATGAATTATAATCAAGAAAGTCTTACTTCAACTTGAGCAATTTCATTGTCGTGATGAGGAAACTTCAAATCCACCCCACCAGTGTGTATGTCAGCAGTACTGCCAAGGATATCACTACAGAGGAAGAGGGTGGCTCAAATCATACACCATTAAGGAAAGTATTTACTAAAAGAGACACTTTTAAGAACCTCCCTGTACAACTCTTAATGAGCCCAAAACATAAACCATTAAGGAAAGTAATTACTAAAAGAGACACTTTTAAGAACCTCCCTGTACAACTCTTAATGAGCCCAAAACATAAACCATTAAGGAAAGTAATTACTAAAAGAGACACTTTTAAGAACCTCCCTGTACATCTCTTAATGAGCCCATAACTATAAAGAAAAGTAATTACTAAAAGAGATACTTTTAAGAACCTCCCTGTACATCTCTTAATGAGCCCAATTTACCACAAGGAGGGCAGTTGTGGTTACACACAAACAATACAAAGCACAGGAATATCCTTACCAAGCCATCACAGAGCACTCAATATGCCATCCTGGTCTACCTGGTCCCCAGGGACTAGGCCAAGCAGGTTCTCCTGGTTTGCTTGCCTTCCATAACGCAAAATCATTCTTGTGCTTCTTCTCTTGTAACTTATCGGCAGATACGCTCAGTTCCCCTACAAGACAATAGCGGCCAATATACAGTGCATGGGCCATTATGAGAGCTTGCCTTCTCCTTCTTGTAGAGCAGCCAAATCACCAACATTCTCAGGGACCAGCTTAGCATATCTGTGATCAGGGGAAGTAGAGAACTTCACTGTATTGAAATACACAGAACCATTTGACTCATACCTACACATGATGATAATAATAGCAATGAGTGCTACTGCATTAAGACCTGGGCTTCCCAATAAACACAACAAGTGGACTGAACAGCAGACTAAGAGTACTACAATAGGACATGGCTTTTGGAGTAACTTCAAAAATCCAATTACGATTGGTATATTCAGTATATGCATGCATATGAAAATGGAGAAATCTCATTTTGATAAAGACTGCAAAAGTCGTGGCAGCCATTTTGAAGTGGGGTGAGAATCCTACTTAGTAACGCTACCATGTTACTAATATGCCAAAGCCCTAAGTGTGCTAAAGCAAGCTAAACAGTCCACTTATGAGAACTGGTCTTACGCGTATCCATTACTGATAATCTTCTCAACAAATACCACAATCTCAGGGACATAGTCTGTCACTCGTGTGAGCACATTAGGAGGAAGGACCTGTACATAGAGACACAGTTAGTACATAGACATAATGATTAATGTGACAAGCCCACATACGTTGAGTGCTGTCATGTCATTGTGATACTCTTCCTCCCATTTCTGAGTTAATGCAGCAAATATGTGATGGTCTGTGACTGTGGCTCCATACTATAAAGAAAATGTAAATAGTTTGCTTATAGTGGTCAGGGGTGGTCAGGACAACCACCTCAACTAATAAACAACCAGTTCCAATCATGCAATTAACATCAATAATCATAATGTGAATTGTGAACATGATATTTTAGTCAACTAGTATGGTGTACATAGTTTAAAAGGAACAATATTAGTTTCCAACCACCTCTAGTTTTTTCTAGGCAGAACCTTGCATGTATCTATACCTTCTATTCCCCCTCCCACATTCTCTTCTTCTTTCTCATTTACCTTACGATCCAACAACTTGGAAAGAGGATCCCTCACAGCATCTATTAGATCAGGCTGTCATCAAGAGATTATAAAAAAGACAAAGGGCATGTGAAATAATTATTAAACTATAGTTTGTTAGTTCTTACCAAAGAAGTGTTGGATCCATCACGAGCTTTCTCAACGGCAGCTACTGCAGTTTTCTGTAAAATAATAAATAAGTGATAACTACAACAAAGTACATTAAAATTATTAAATTTATGACATAAACATGGATCTTGGCACAGTACAGGTTCTTGTCAGTGGATTTTAAAATTGCTCAAAATTTGAGCTCACTTAGCATGCTTTGTGGGAAACCCTGATGTGCATGTAAGAGAATGTGGGTACTTTGGAACAAATTTCCTGGCTAAATACACATCTATACGTAGTACAATACACTACACTACATTTGACATGTAAACGATTACTAACAATAGTAGAAGATAGCAATGATGCTTTGTCCTTGTCTGTTTCTTGAGCCAATTTTTCTTTATAAATCTAAAGTGAAAAAAAATATTGTTACTGTTTTAATTCTTATCAGTCAGCATTATGAAATTTATCATACCTCTATTGCTTGGTCGCAGTCTCTGATAACGTCATCAAGTGAATGATCTTTTGACTTGTACTCCTCAAATAAATGATTCTGTCTAGCACGATTAATAATCTGAATGAAGAACGAAAGACAACAATCATCATCATCATCATCATCACCGATATCGTACTACCTTGTCGTCAATATCAGTAACATTCATTACATAAAATATATCATAGCCAAAATAATCAGACATCACACGACGAATGATATCAAATGCCATATACGACCTGTGAAAATAAGAAGTGATACATGTACATGTACATATTAATAGTACACATAATTACATTATACATGTACATGTACATACCTTGCATGTCCCATATGTGATGCATCATATACAGTTGGTCCACAGCTATACCATGTCACACTTCTACCATTCATAGGAACAAACTCTTCCTGAAAACAACAATGAAAATATTAAATAAAATAATGTTTTACACTTGTACGTGTACATCAACCATTTCAAATTAATAATCGTACTTTTTTCCTAGATAAACTATTGTATAGTTTAAGAGTTTCACTACTTGAACTGGTTTTACTATCAACTGATAATAGAAAAAAAGAGGAGTGGTGAAAGAGGGTCAGATTAAGTCACTGATTACCTGAAGACATTTTGACAAAATTCTTGTGATATCTAATACTCCTATTTATTAATCTGCTAGTTACTGCTCTACCTGCAAAAGCAATGGACGACAAAAACATACAGGGAAACAGGGACAGCACACACAAAGAAATTATTAGAAAAAGAATACTGGGCGTGGTGGTTAAAATACAAAAGCAGGAGTGCCTATTTTTAATAGTAGGCGTGGTTAAACAATATGGCGGCAAATGAGGAGGACAAAATGTCATGGAGCACAATTACTCTAGAGAAGAAGGAACTCTCACTGGCTGATGTTCTTCCAACTGGGCAGACATTTAGATGGTATAAGACGAGAGATGATCCTGAGGAATGGTCTGGAGTCATTAAAGGAAGGTAAGAATAATATTAATTTTAATGAATTATTATATATATGTATATATAATAATTATGCACCGTACAACTTGAAATGTTGGTGAGGAATAAGAGTCGGTGGGTATTATTTTTCTCACGTTCAATAGTCATGTCATGACTTTAAGATATTTAATAGCGATGCAAATTGGCAAATAATAATTTCAGCAAATATTTCCAGCTGTATATACAATGTGCATTACATGTATAATATTATTACCGTAATTCCTCTAAAAATTTGTCACATCAAGTTTTGTATTTGTAATTTTTAAAATGAATTTTTGGAGGGAGAGCAGTTACAAAACTTTTAAATTAATTATTTTGTCGAATTTGGAGGGATTTATTAATGCATAAAGCATTAAGCCAGCTGTATTCTAACCTGGTCATTCAGAGTATCCTACTCTTGTATTGTAGAGGTAGGTGATGAAATTAGAACCACGTGGAATAATATTTAAAACAAATTTTTAGAATGAATTTTGGTAAAAAAATTTGAAATAATTATTTGTTTTTAAATTTAGAGCACTGAATATTTAGAGAAATTACGGTATGCATTAAAATAATCTCGTCATATTTTAAAGGGTCTTCATTCTACAGCAAACAGAAAATGAATTAAAATATCACGTTCACAGCGTCAAAACGACGTCTAGTTCCAATGAAGAAGATTTGTTGACACTCAAAGAATATTTTCAACTAGACACAATCTCACTATCAAAGCTCTATTCTGATTGGTCGGAGGTTGATGAGACAATGCGCGAGGTTTGTCATGAGTGTCCCGGTGTTCGAATATTGGGTCAAGATCCCCTGGAGACCCTAATATCATTTATATGTTCATCAAATAACAATATATCCCGTATATCACTAATGATCAATAGACTCTCAAGACACTTTGGAGCCTCGCTAGGAACCCACAGAGGAACAGAGTTCTATTCCTTTCCTTCAGTTGAGTCTCTCTCCCGTCCTGGCCTTGAGGATAAACTACGTGAATTAGGATTTGGCTACAGAGCTAAGTATGTTTCTGGAGCTGTGAGCTACTTGTCCTCTCAGCCTAGCAACTGGCTTGAGTCCCTCCAGGATCTCAGTTATCTCGAGGCTTGGGAAGCCCTTCAGATTATTCCAGGGGTGGGTCCTAAGGTCTCTGATTGTGTGTGTCTCATGGGACTACGGAAGTACGAGGCTGTACCCGTTGATGTTCACATGTGGCGGGTCTCAGAGAGACTGTATGGCTTTAAAGGTGCAGGGAAAAACCTGTCAATAGCACTCTACAAGGAGATAGGTAAATGATTGAAAGATTGTTATGACTTTTTCTTTTCCACTAAGAACACATGTGTATTTGAAAGTAATATTTTGAAAATTTATACAATGTACATGTACATACACGCAGTGCTAGAGTATTGTATTAGGGAAATTATTAAAAATGATTGGAGGGAATGATGGTCTTGTGATCTTATTATTAATGTTTACATTTGCAGGTGACATGTTTAGAAGTCGATATGGTAGCTATGCAGGGATTGCTCAGGCTGTAAGTGAAACCAATGTCCAGTCATAACTTATCATTACACTCTGAAACTGAATTTTATTGAAATACTATAGCAACAACAGCATGCACTCCCAATGGACGTAATGTATCGATGCTCTTTCTTTCTGTTAGGTGTTGTTTAGGAGAGAAATATCAAAAGGGAGAAAATAAATGATGAAATGAACTTATATTGGTTCAGTTTAAGTCTGTGTATATTATATGTTAACATTATTAGATATTATACCCTGTGGAATTTGAGGAATGCAATTTTATTTTTACCTGTGGAGGAGTGTTCACTGTCTACACAGTACAGCATCTACTCTCAATAAACAGGGATAGCAGGATAGAAGAGCATATTTTGGTATCAGAAACGACTAGACAACAGCAGCTTTTCCTGGGCTGCTCTAGTATGACCTCTTCCCCTGTCATTATAGTCAGCTATGAGGGACGCGAGGGTCCCTTCAGAATTAACGTCGGCCCATCCCTAGAGCTCAGTGATGATGATATAGAGAAGGCCTCAGAGGAGCTCTGGGACTCTATAAGAGCCTCGTTTCGCCTCTCCTCTGGCTCACGGTTCGCTCTACACGAGGCTGAGTCGGGTCGTATAATGTCCAAGGAGACGCTGCGAGATCCCTCCTGCATGCCCTCTTTCCCAAAGTACTGGTACTTGACTGTCGATAATGGCTACACTAGAGGCGAACTTTCTGCTGGAGTTGGGAATAATGTCTTCACAAGATTTAGTGAAGACGATGAAAATGTAAGTCTCAATTTTTGTGTGTGTGTGTGTGTGTGTGTGTGTTTATTAATGTCTCGCATTCTTCCATTGTATTAGTAGCTACCAGTAGATATCTAATGTCAGTGTGGGGAGAGAGAGAGAGAGAGAGGCTTGTAGATTAGCACTTTCCTTACATTGCTAGACACTAAAAAAGTGTTTCACAATTAGCATGTATTACTACCTTTCCATGTCTGGCTCTGTATTAACTGTATTATATATAATATTGGATTTGAGAATATGATGCAGCCCATATGCTGTGAGAGGGTAATAACATTTTGTACTGTACATTTCAATTGCTTTCTATTGAGTTTGAGTCCTTTTAAACTTGATTATCATATTGCCCTGCCCTTGAATTTTGCATGCAGTATAGCATATGAATAAACTACCCTGTGGACCTCTGGGCTCTCTTGTAGTATTATTCACGTTCAGGAGCCATCATTCACGAGCTTGGAATGCTCTGAATATCAGTATTATTGTAACCTGCCTTCTCAGACAATGTGTGTGTCTTTGTCTACTATTGACATTTGTATGCACTCCGTGCACTGTACCACTACTGTTGTATGTGTGTGTGTGTGTGTGTGTGTGTGTGTGTGTATGTGTGTGTGTGTGGTGTGTGTGTATGTACCTTGTAGTAATCGAGTCGGGATAGCTAGTAAGAGTATCATTCACTAGATTGCATCTGCTTGTTTCCATATCAAATAATGCTATCACTGATTCAAAGACAATAGGACGTAGCTCCGTCTGTAATAAAAGCTTTATCCTTTGCTGACCCTTAACGTTCATTTAAGAATAGCTCTGAGTGTGCACAGTCTACACTAAAATAACAATTTGCTTTCCTCCCCCTCTCTCCTTATAGTCTTATAGAGTTATAAATATGTCAGTAATGTGTACTCTCTGCTCTGATGGCAGTCGCCCTTTAGCCCTAGCTTAGTCTCACACGCTCACACTTATTGTAGCAATAGTCATGTTATGGCTCTAGTCTAGTGTGTACAGGAGTGTCCCTTTCATAATCGCTTTCAGGATCATAGCAATACATGTTTGTGTGTGTGTCTGACCCTGTTTGTCTCAATACAGGATCAATGGTATTAACATGATGAAGTTTGTATTGGCTGTTTGCCTGCATTACATGCTGCTATACAGGCTCTTTCTGACTGTTATCATCACAAACAGGACTTGTTTCCCTTTAGAGATAAAGCGTGTACACTTTGTCCACATATCTTTTCTCCTTTAGATTACAAGAGGGGGCTAATTGGTGAATTATTTTAATCTATGACTTAGCTCCTATAGACTCTAACATGTGTCACACATTTAAGTTGGTATGCCTGGATCTCATCCTGCAGCAGCATGCATCAGATGCATACGTAGTTACACACATACATGTACATGTACATGCATACAGTACATACAAAATGTACATATGCATACAAACATACATAAAGGAATGTGCCCTCTTCACACACACAGAGTTAGAGTAGTTAGTTGCATTCACTGCCACATTTAGTCACAGGCAAACTTAGGGAATGATCATACCCAAAATCCATTAAGAGGTTATACTGTATATGTGTATGTATGAAGGTTTGTGTGTGTGGGAGAGTGTTGTTTTCAATAGCTAAGTATCAGTGTAGTATATTGATATGCTTATGAAGTGGCTTGGAGTTATGCATCTATGCTAAGGTTACTTGTCGCTTGTGTTACAATAGAGTAATCTTACGTATTCATGAATGATGATATCAGACTTTGAGCCTTATTGACTGTGGGAGGATGAGAGAAGGAGAGGGTGAGCAAGTGCATCAGTAGCACAAAGACTGTGAATGATGACACTTTGTCTGTTAATGACTAGTACATAATCTTCAATTGAATGTACAAGCACCTGTGGTTGGTGGTATGGTAGTACTTTATTTTTAATCTTATTTTTATTTTATTTAGCAGTGGTCATCCCCCATTCCTCTTTTAATCAGTTTTCATTTTATGCATCAGCTGGTAATGGCCTGCATTTCTATGGCAGGGTCCAATAATTGACCTTAGATCTCAACTCTTCACAGTATTCAGTTTGTATTCAGTGACATTTTAATGAGCTCCAGGCACTCCTAATATGCATATGCTTAATTAGACTAAGAAAAGGCTTCAGTTTGAAAAGATTACTGCCATTATTCTTTGAACATGCTTATATCACTTGTACATGGTGTGTGTGTTGTATGCAAACTCCATTGGGGAGTGTATGGTGTGTCAGATTCTTTACTTTTATATTCTCCCAACCTCTTCCTTTCCCCCTCTCTCTTTCTCCTTCCTTTTCTTTTTCTCTTTCTCTCTTCATTCTTGTTCCCCTGTAGTATTCAACATCAGTAGATGTATGTGATCTGAATGACCTTCTACTAATGAACGAATATTCGACTGCATTCACCCTGGATGGAGATGATTTCAATATCGAAGGAGACGGAGAAATAGAAGACAACGACGATGAAGACTCGACTAGTTTTGGTTTATTTCCTTCCCTGATGGAGCTCTCAATGGGGCGGAGTCCCTCTCCTGGCAGTTCAAGGGAAGACCTCACCACCATGTCACTTAGCTGCAATGAAGAGGGAGATTTTGGTTTCATCTTAAGACATTTTACAGTTATTGCTAATGTACCAGTGAGTCTATTCAAATTTCAAAACACCATTACAGTACATTGCGTACATGCATGGATATTACCCATAACCTGGTTGTTTATCAAGTTTTGGTTTTGTGTTATTTATTTGTGCTCCATAGACATCTCTTTACTTCACTTGTTATCTTTTAGAGATCATGACTTTATGTTCATACCTCCCCCACTCTTATTCTACCTAATGCACTTGTGTTGTTGTTATTTTTCAATGACTCACACTGCCCACCATCCCCCCCCCCATCCTTCCACAGTCCCTCCATCTCCTTCATTCACTTTCTACTTATGCTTCCATTATATCGTATAGTGGTTTTATTTTATTGGTAGAAAATTTTGCAAATTTGTCCAGATTTGCTATTTGTTGGTATAAATTATTACGAATCTTACCTTCTGCAGCCATTTTTCCTAGTGTGCCACACCTCTTTTGTGGAATTTAATTTTGCGAATTTAATGAAAATACAAAATTAGCAAAATTTATTTCCAGTGAAATGTAACCCCTGTAATATGGTATTGTTGTACTTTGTTTTTTCACATCCTCCTAAATTCCCTTTTTTTTCTGGCTATTTGTATTGTGTCTATCATATACTTGCACTTTGTTTTTATAGCGTTCTGAGAATTCTGGTAGTGAGGACAGCTCACAGAATGATTCCAGAAGTGCCTCGCGATCCTCCACCCACTCCTCCTCTGATCTCTTTGACACTCTGAGGATGTCGACATTGTTTGTACATTCGGTACTTCCTGGGGGACCAGCTGAGCGAGCTGGACTGCAAACTGGTAAGCTAAATATTTTAAAATTATTTTTTGACTATTTCTGGTAAATCTGTACATTTGTGGTTTTTGCATGACCGAGCTAGTCAAAATACGCTACAGTGAATGAGAAATTCCTTTTACATTACCATGAGTGCTAGTAATTGGTTTACTGTCTTATTTGTTTAACTTAGGTGACATACTTTACTCAATAAATGGTCAAGTGGTTAGTGGCTGCACTACACAGGATATTTCCAGTATAATATCAAAAAGGTAAATTATCTCAACTATTGAGTATTCATACCTAATTCCTGAGATATGCAGCCAATGTATACATGTTTCTAAAATTGCTTTAATAATGTACATTGACATATATGTGTACTTGTACGTGTTTCTAAAATGATAATAATTATTGACACCACATATTCATCTGCCTGTTGTAGTTTTTCTAAAAGTTTAGTAGTGTTTTCATAATCATAGGTTTAGTTTTATTTTCCCAGTACTGATTCATGCGTGTGTGTCATGCTGATAACTTGTATATTTATTGCATTCTAGTGGTCCCAGATTGACACTTTGTGCTACTCCTGAGCAACACGATGATCTCCTATTCGTAAGTACACGCACACTATTATACATGTATGGACGCTAGCTTGTTCACTCATTCATGTGTCTACACTCATGATGCATGTACATTGTTCACATGAAGTAATGTATGCCCACACACACACGTACACATGTTCCTCTAGTCTAGTGGAATTTAGCTCACTTTGATGTATGTATCTAACCAACACTCCTCTTTAACTCTTAGTGCATTGTATCTCTCTCTCTCTCTCTCTCTCTCTCTCTCTCTCTCTCTCTCTCTCTCTCTCTCTCTCCCTTCCCTTCCCTCTCTTTTTCCCTCCCCCTTTTCTTCCTCTCTCTCTCTTTCTCTTTAAACTATTCTATAGTTATACCCACAGTATGTTCAAGGTGAGCCTGGTGAATACTCACGGGCTTCATCAGAGAAGATACTAGTCACTGACTTGATAGTAAAAATGACACAAAATGAAGAGGAAGAGGAGGAGGAGGAGGAGGAAGAAGAAGAAGAAGAAGAAGATGTAGACTATCATCTCAAGCCTCCTCGTTTATCCCGTCCCATTTCAGCAGACGAGACACTCATCCACCGCATCACCTCTGAGCTAGACTCTTATCTTCACGGCAGTGATACTCTCTTACCCTCTCAACCGACCAACCATAGCTCCAACAACTCCTTTGCATCCGAAGGTTACAGCTCATCCAATGATGACTTATTAATATCCGGGTCCCTTGCCGATATTCCTGTAGTTCCCAGTCCCCTCAGACAGCGGAAGATATACACTCAAAAAGATGGTAATAATTTCATAGATGGCTCCCCACAGGATTGGCTGTCACAAGAGAACGAGAGAGTGGAGGAGAGAGAGGTCGTGTGGTTTCCCGGGGCAGCTGCTACTGAAGAAGATGATGATGTCAAAGGATTCACCTACTCACTCCCGGTGGGTATGAACAAGACGAGTGACCCCTCCTCCTCCTCCCTCATGTCTCAGAGTGGGGAGTATGTCCCCCAGCCTGTTAGGAGCAACAGTCCAAGTAAATTTGCTCGTAAAATTAAACAGACCTTCAAGAACCTAACCGGGTCCGGCTCCTCTAATTCCTCCTCTTCTCATCGCAAGTTATCAAAGACTAGCTCCCTGGGTGTAGCACAGGCCTGCTCTACGTCAGCTCTTGATAAGCTAAGCGTGAAAGGTCCCACAGTCCCTTCCAGTCAAAGTATAGGACAGAGGAGCTCTAGCACTGACCTTGGACGCATTAAGATTAAGGGATCCTCTCTAGAGGCACTTACTAAAGTAGGGAACTCGATTGAGAACCTAACACTAGCAGAGAAACAGAGACAGAGAGTTACTAATAAACACACCACAGAACAACCTCCGGTAGCACGCCCAGCACTAGCTACACGTAGACTACAGTATCCAGTAGTGGTACCTCCTCTGAAATCAACCAGTGCCCCTACTAATGGCTCTGATGAATCCCAGGGCAACAACCTCTCTGGGGAGAGTAGTAATGGAGTGACTCCTGCTAAAGGTGGTAGGAGTCACGCTGGGGGACGCTCTTATCGTAATCAAAGAGAGAGGCTACACCAGACTAGGTCTAGAGGAGGCGTAGAGGAGAAGGACGTGCCTCCTATCACTCAGGCTGGATCAAACTCTTCTGCTCGGAGGATCTCACGTGAAAACCTTCCCGTCCCAACTGATACTCGCTCATTCTCAAAGATGGGAGCAGAGAGACGATACCAGAGGAGCACCTCAGTATCAACACAACTAACTGATGATTCATCAGATACAATAACACTACGTGGACACTCTCAAGACAGTTTTGTACTAGCTGGTGGTAACACTACAGGGGTGACTGTGGCTACTAAGTCACCACTCTTCACGGACAGAAGAAAAGGACTTATATTTAATACTAGTGATGATAGAGGGAGTGTATCACTGAGTGATGATGAGAGACTGCATCATGTTGAAGAGGATCACCCTAGGTCACAGTCCTTCACTGGATCAGTTGATTTATCAGCTACTGGCTCTTCTTATCACAGAGGGAAGCTACTCTCTACTCAGAATAAAATCAGTGAAGAGAATGAAGGAGGAGGGAGAGGGAAAATACCAGCACGGAAAACCTTCTCTTTTGATGAGAGGAAGCCAGTGGGGAAAATTAATGTAAGTAGACATACATGTACATGTACATCCTATCCGGTACACTGTATCTATTGCATTATGACTGGAAGTACCTGTAAAGTACATGTACATGTACATGTATATGCATAACTTAAGAATTGACTATTTCCATACTATTTTTTTTACTATTTTAATTATATAGAACTAGCACAAAAACAAAGTGATAATATTGAATTTATTATTGTTATTATTATATTATATTTATTATTATTATTTGCTCCTCCTCTAGTCTGTGTTCCATGGTCCTATTCACAAGAAGCAGGAGAGAGCTCAAGGAGGCAGGAAACCCTCAGAGAGGTCCTGGAAGTCAATCTATGCTGCAATCCAAGGACACTGGATGGTGTTCTATGGGAGTGTACAAGATGCACTGACAGTAAGAGCTCTCACCCACTCACTGTTATTTGTAGTAATTCCCATGCTACGATCAATGAGATAAATCTAATGGTGGCTGACTTTGATAATCATTTTTCAATACAACAGCATCCTCATATCAGTTTGGATTGTATTCAATTACAAACAATGGGTTGGCCTATAGCTATGCACTGGGTGTGATAGTGTTAGAATGTTCCTTAATTGTTTTAATAATGTCCCACATGCATTTGTTTTGTTGTGACGTGTGTGTGTGTGTGTGTGTGTGTGTGTGTGTGAGCCAGTGTGACTCTTGTGTCAATTACAGTGAATATTTTGATGATTTGACTCCTCAGTAAATGTTACAAAACATTACATTAGTTAGTGCATCACTATTGCATACAGTACCTCTTCCATCAATATTACTTGCCTTTTTATTATTAACTGTATATGGCATATTAAAAGTCATGGCCCATACATCATTTCTTAAAAATGAAATGACATTTTATTAAATTATCTTAGGGACAACGTCTTACTAATGAGCCATCGCTTGATCTCAGACAGTGTGTTGTCACTGTCCTACCGAGAAAGAAGCATACTTTCAGACTTACCTTTGTGACTGGATCAGAGTGTCTCATTCAGGTAAGTACATGTATGTACTGGTAGCTTTGATGGTGTGTGATTTAAAGGATATAGCACTAATAATAATAATATCTTGCATAGTATGTGTAGTTTGGAATTATTCAATTTGTTGTCATTAGGCTGAGAATGAGGAAGCCATGATGAGATGGATGAGGATCATTCACAACTTAAACAGGCACATTCAGCGACTTGGACCACTCCCTCCTACTCTGCTCACTGTAAATATATTTTAATATAATAAAAGTATTTATAGTGATTTTTGTTTCTCTCTCTTATTGTAGAGACCATCTCAAGAAGAGCCTTCAAAGACTAAAAAAGAAAAGACCAAAATACGTAGAACTAGAACACCACAGCCGCCAAAGAAATCTGATAAAGGTTAATAACTGTAGCATTAGTAGATAGTATTTTGTCAAAAATGAAAAGGAGAGAATTCAACATTTGTTGTATTTTTTATGCATAATACATGTACATGTTCTTATGTTGTGTAGAAAGTTTAGACTAATTATAATAAAGTATAGATTTTTACAAATTTTTTAAGTTGCTCAAAAATTGGACAAAAATCTCTGTGCTATAGTACAGGGGTTTTTTGCCAAATTTTGCCAAAAATGAAAAGAAGAGAATTCTCTATTTTTATAATTTTTTCTTATGCATATACATGTTCTTATGTTGTGTGGAAAGTTGGAACTAATTACGATTAAATATGGATTTTTAATGAATTTTTGAAGTTGCTCAAAAATTAGGCCAAAGTTCCTGTACTATAGTGAATGTACAGTGATATTGTCTATTCTTGATTTTACTGAGTTATGATAGTATCACTCTCTTTCTCTTTCTCACTAGACAAACGTTCTCGTGAGGTTCTTCTTGAAAGATTGAAAAGGACTCTCAATCCAGCAAGGAAGGACTCTGAAGTTGATAATGTTGATGCAGTCTTTGCTAATACCTTTGGCTTGCCAATAGAAGAGTGTCCCTTCTCTGATGATAACAAAGTATGCTCAAAAATAAAAATGAGCTTTAATTCTATCCACTTTATTACTGTACACACTTCTCCTTTCTCTCTCCTTTTCCTCTGTCTTCCCTTCACAGTATGTACCACTAGTCATGACAGTGTGTCTGACAGAGCTGGAGTCAAAGTGGTTGGATACTGAGGGGTTGTATCGACTAGCTGGTCCTATCGGACAGGTTAGGGTTCTTGCTGAAGAGCTCAACAAAGGGCGCTTTGACCTTTTAAGAGATCAGAATGATCCTCACGTTCTCACTGCTATACTCAAGAAGTTTCTTAAAGAACTGCCCAACCCGATTGTGCCTAACGGTAAGGAAGGGATCGGCTATGCATTAATTTGTTTATAATGAGAGGAAATTATTGACATTTTTGTCCCTGGAAAATTGCTAGTTATTTTGCCAAAATACATTTAGATCTCATTCCTTGTAATTGTACGTGCATGTTTTATCAAAGAATATTTGATTGCATCATTTTGGCTCACACTCCTTTAATTGTCATTGTTTCATCTGAAGTTCATGAGTCGTGGCTATTATTATCCATTGTAATGTGTCCTGGCTATTATTATCAATTATTTCCTTTGATGTTCATCCTAGCAGTCGCTATTGATGTTATAATCCATTTATTTCTCTTCAAACATACCTTATTCTCTACTTGTTCACTTTGCTATTACTCATAGCTTTATTGGGGCGAGATTGGGCAAGCCCCACTGTAGCAGGAGTCTTCTGTATGTACATGTATGTATGTATGTATGTATGTATGTATGTATGTATGTGTATGTCTGCAGTCACGCCCATCTTCTGGTCACACCCCATGTGTGCACTGCTATCTATTTATCTGTCAATGGTCTAATGCAGTAGCTCATTCTAATGAAATATTGTAAAAACACATGTGCATGTATGAAGCAAGAAGAAAGCTCGAGATCAACCTCAACGACCTAGCTGGAATGAAAAGGATGCTCTTCTTCTTGCTCAGCTCAGAGGGTTATGATGGCATCCCAGATTCAAGATTTAATAAAAGCAGTCTAGCTAGCAGCAGAGTCAGCGCAATACCACGAATGACTCAAGCTCGCCCCATTAATGCATTGCATTCGACTAGTTAATTTGATAATGATACAAGATTGTACCCACACAGCAGACACTTACAAAGCTTTTTACTCATAACTAAGACCCACTACTTACTATCAACTCCCACTCATTGTACCGCTCCTTCCTATAGCATCCTTTGGTAATATGCACTGTCATTAGTCCTCCCACGTCATTACTATTTATTTATTTATTTGTTTATATTTGAATGTACACAATAAATATAATTACACTATAAATTTGTCTTAAACTCATTAAGGAGCAAGTAAAAACTTATCAAGGTGCAAGATTTTCCTTTTAAAAGCATTTCTACACACTTTTTTAATGTTGCTCCATAATTGGGCTATAGCCCTGTATGGAGACTTTGGCCTTATTTTGCCAAAAATGGCTAGGTGGGATTTTTTATCTTAATAAT